TTGATGTTTATTCGTTCTGTGACCCGTATTTGTGCTCCCTCACGCACTTTGACCTCTCTTGTGGAAATTATCAGGAATTCAAATCCCGAATGTTGTAGCACAACACACCGATGTTACGTTTGCTTTTATGCATTTGTGCATTCATTTGATAACTCACTTTATGCCTTTGCTCTATAACTTTTGCAATCGCGAGCTCGGCAAAAGGAATTTCTATTAGGTATTTATGTAAACTTTAACTTCTATAGAATATAACACGTTTGTATTATTTGTAAACTTATCCTTTTACGGGATTATTTTCCAAACCTCAGGAATAAATTGAAAGCTCATTTAACCAACTATAAACGTATCGAGGGTTTGAGAGTTTTTTTGTACAGTATATCCAACAAAAAAAAGTTTACACGCTCGATAAAGGAGTTATCTTGAATGAACCAAAAAGCAAAATCAACTCCTTTAGGCGCAGCTTTTCATGCATGAATTCGCATGGCTAACGTCAAAAAGGGACACGTCATCGCCCCAGGAATAATATTTCTAAAAAGTTAATGCAACAGACTGATTTTATCGCTCGAAAAACGCAAACGGACGTTATAAGAAAGGGAAAAGTTGAATTTATTACGAGGTCTGGTTTTGAAATCGGAAAGGAATACATTTTTTTTAATAATTAAATGCAAAACGCGAACGCTTTAAATTAATGAGCCAATTTTTTACACAAAATTGAAAAATAATGGCTGTTTTAAAGCGTATACAATTCGACTAAAATAGTCGCAAAATGCACAAACAACAATAATAATTATACGCAGTTTAATTGCACATTCCATCCCCGGTCTTCAGCTATTCTAATCGACCTGTAACGTAACAATTCTAATTGTAAATAAATGAAGTGAATAAAATTCATTCGTGTATATCTATACAACTTGGTGTTTTTTGTATAAATTATATGGTGAAACGTGTACATATAATTTTGAAGTACAATTATTTGAAATATTAAGTATAATTTGTACATACTCTGCACCATCATTGAATATATTTGCCCTTGTTACCGATATAAAAATAAACGGGTTTTCTAAAGTATGGCTTTGCACACAACATGCAATAAAATATTGAATGCAGTTTGTCATTGCTCACGGAAAGCTAAAATTTATAGTTATTAGAAGTTCCCGAGTATACTATATTTACATTTTTATTAAGCATTAACTTATTCACCAACAATATAATTAAAATTTTATCAAAAGGATAATGGATTATGGACACGACAATGAAAAATAAACAAGAAGACTATTACAAAAATGTAAAATTATGCAAATTTTCCGTTTGATTTATTCGAACAAAACGATCCATGTACACAGCGAATTTTCCTCTGTGTATAAAGCTCAGTGATTAAAAAAATATTTATTAGCTCGTAAATATTGAAAATCTTAGTCTTCTCGTTTAAATGCCCAACTCTTTTCCATCATTTCTCGGGAAAACAATAAATTTTCTACAATACCTACTTGTACAAAAGAGAGTCAATATTTATCAACACTCATTTTAATGAAAAAGCTACACTCCTTCTAATAAATTATTCATTGGCAGACATTACAGAAATTATTTTTAATTCGCCAAAAATTATTCATCCTGAAAAATTTCCTTATTGTTTAAGTCCGCTACAATATAGATACAAGTATTTGCACAGCTTGTTATTTTTAATTTTTCCAAAAAGATTGAATAAACTACATGATCGAGTTGAAACCCTTAATAATTCATAAGCAATTATATGCTGCAGGCTGTAATGCTTCCAAAATAACAGCACGTACGTACGTGGAATGCAAGTTATGCCCGGAGTGCAGTTAAATATTCCTGGCAAGGAAGTGGAAAATAAAGAACGTTTCTAACGAAACGGAGCGTTATCTTACATGAAATGGTTACCACAAAGCAAATTCTTCTTCGCAAGTGATTTTAGCATAACTGTCACGTGTTTGTCAGGATTCATTGTTTGTTAAGAAGATATATCAGGGTTGTATTCGGCTCAAAATTTGATCTAAATCAACGCCTTTGTCGCAGAATGAACCTGAATTATACGTTAGAGATGGCAAGGAAACTAGATTAACAATATATCAAAATTAAGTGCTATACATGCAGATCAATAGGAATAACTAAAGACCGGGACTTGCGCAATTGCTATACCTGTTTCTAGCTATACCTGTGAATCTGTAAGTTTACAAGACGTTTCTTCGATATTTTTAATCATCAAATTAAAGCGACTTAAATAATATACCTAAAGACATTATGGTTGCGTGAGTTATTCAATTATCCGCAGAAAAAGCAGGAATTGGACGAGTTCAATGTAATGTTATCGCAGTCTTGGTACAAGCAGACACCTATTTCCTGAATCAACTTCATGTCCCGCGAATTACCCAAACCAGCATTTAGCGTTTGTTGACAGCTCAAACCGATGAAATTTGAAAGCTTCCAGCTGACAGGCCAACAAACTGATTTTTTGGAGTTTTAGGCGAATAAAAATTCCAGTTTTTGTGGCCAACAGGACAGCAAGAAAAATTTTCCGGGCATCCAGATGGCGATTTTCGCAATCGCAATACTGTAATTATAGAAATGTAAAATTATTGAAGAATAAAAGAATTATTGAGCAAATTAGTCAATCAATTATCTGCAGTTTTACTGTGTATCGATTTCTTTCCAGGGCGTCTTTTTATTTAATTTGAATCAAGTCGAATTCATGTCCAAAAAATTGCAAAATAAAAATTGCAACCCTTTCAATAACCGGAGTTTTAAATATAAAAATCAAGAAAAGTTAATTTTCGCGTTGAAAGATGGGAGGTGAATGGCTTCAATTGAATTAATTCTAATTTCTTATCCTACGGGAATTCTTCAATATCGATTTTCCATCGTCTTTGTCTCTTGTCAGGTAATTGCATTAAAAAAATCAGTTGTTGAACGTTTCATTACAACATTAATTCCCGCGTTTCCTCGTATATTTTTAACATTCAAGAAAATACAAATAAAAAGAAAAAAGGCACACAAACTTAACATTGAGTGCGCCTTTATCGCGAAACCTTAATCTCAAATAAATATCCCGATGGCACCCTGACAGAATTGAATTCGTTATATTAATACGGAAAATACAGAACGCCCATTGAACGCTAATATGTTTTCCTCGCGAGTCGATGATTCGGAAATATTTTTATCAAAATTTAAATTGCATTTTGCGATGCTATTAAGGATTCCGGCTCGACGGAGCGGATCTAACGAATTTGCGTAATTTAATTTCTTGAACCCTTTGCCGCAAAATTATTTATTCGAAAAATTACATATACGCATTAGTCGAGTGTTTCAGTTAAAATGGTGAAAATTTTTCTCTATCGTGTAGTTACTTTATTGTTTACTTTTAGCATCTAAGTGCAGCCGTTTGTGAAATATAGAAGCAATTTGGAATTGGAATCGAATTTAAACTTGTTCCGTTAAATCAATAATGTCTTTTTCACTTAAAATTGTTTGTTCAAGTTGCGATTCCCTGTGGAAATTAGCCCCAAATGAAGATTGACGTCAACAAAACAACGGTTCATTTAAAATGCATTATAATTTATATTTATTTTTTAGATAAGTAAAGTGGAAACAACATTTATTCGTGACGTTATTAGATAATACTGCTTTACGTTTAAATCTTAAGGGATTATCGAGATACCAGTGCTCATTCAAATATTTATTTAATCCTGCAGGATTTAGCGGAACTTCAGTGTGGATATATTTATTTATTAGGGAAAATTTCGAAATTGAGTTATAATTGATAAAGTTTGTTAAAAAAGTTTTTATTTCGTTTTAGTTTCCCGCTAAATTCTCTTATATTACTGGCCTAGGCATGGTTCTAATTTTACTCGATGTGATTATCTGCTTAAATTTTCAAACCGGTGAAATACGTTAAAACGAAACAATGGGCACCAAAGTTTACAATTGGTTTACTTGTTTAAACATGCTATGGTATTAACAAGCTCGCAGCAACAAACATGTAAAACGTGCAACCCTTTCGATTTCCAAAGTGCCACAGTGTAGCTGGAAATGTTTGCATTATATTTTAATTACAACGAGGAGGTCATTCTATTCTGCAATAACTATTATCTGTGAAATGAATATTTTAAATAATAATAGGTGACACAACAATGCATGCCAATAATAAAACTAAAAATTTTTAATAGGTCCTGAAAAAATACATCTTAATTAGGCAGCTAATCAGAGAAACACATTTATTATAAGAAGCAAAAGCATTTTCCACTACATTTAAACTGCATTTATTTTTAGAAAATTTAACACGTTATAGGCAGCCTGCAAAATATCGATCGAAACTCCCTTTTATAGATCATACTCGTACAAAATAAAGAAATAGAAATGTAAGACACGTACGCCAGTAAGTTTTATTTATTGCTTCCAATGTTCCGTTTGTGCAGTGCATCGCTCTTGAACGAAGAATTATTTTCTACGATAGCCTGGGGCATTTATTGCAACTCGGCTGGAATTATTAAACACAACAATTTGTTGTTAATAACAATAAAATATCGCTACACGTTATTTTATCTACAGACAGTTATTTATTCACGCGTTTGTGTTGAACTAGCATGTACGCCCATGTGGAGAATAACTTTTTATGAATTGTTTTTCTGTGGGACTCCTAACATGTGTTTTAAACGGAAAATCCAGCATCGAAAAAAGTTATGAGCAAAATAAACTTTTCAGTTTCATTTACCAATCCAAATAAGTCAATTAAAATTTCTTTTTCCACAATTATAATATATATAGGGTGATTCCACATAGAGTATTTTTTAACTGCATAGGAAAATCGAACGCAAAATGCATAAATTCCCCAAGGAAAGGCAATGCTCAAAATTGTTCAAAGAGCGACATCTCTTGTACCAAAACGAACGTATGACAATATTGATTAGCATTTAGAAGAGAATCCTCGCATCCAGATAGGCATATTGCAAATTTCACTAAAAGATGAGAACAATTTTCATTTACGAAATTTTTTATTTATTAATTTAAATTAAATATGACCGTACGCCTCGTAGGGCGGCTCCATGTATTTATCAAGAATGCTGCTAATTTCCTTGTACATTCTCAGATTTTGCTCTATTTTAAACGTACTGTTAATGTTCAGATAATCCAATGTATCAGGTTTTGATGTTGGCCAAGTAATATTGAATAGTAGAGGGTCTTCTACTGGAGTTGGATTTCTAAAATGGTTGTAAAGTTATAGAAAAATAGTCGATAAACACCTAATAATCTCACAGATATTTAACGAAGTTAGTCCATAATCTGATCATTCTCCACAATGTATTTTGATCTTCTTGCGGGAATTTACTCAAATCGTCGTTATTTTCAAATACCCAATAATAATGGAGTTCCTCCATGTGACCAACTCTCTCAGCACCTGTAGATTCAACAATTTGTATTTTTAATCACATATTTTACACATACTTTTTATTGTGTACCTGGTAACATGTTTTTCTGGAAATGGTTGGCCCCCATTTCTCCCCAATACGAAAACTTGTATAAGTAATTAGGGGCGTATTTTGCTCCTAGTTGAACTTGTTTGCCGGTGGGAGTAGCAAAGTCTATATCTGTGGCCCACTGAAAGATTTACTTAACTTAATTTCGTTGCTAGCCCAAATTAGCACAAAAGAAATTATTAAAAAAATTAACAAACTTACTCTTATGTAAGCAGCATGATCTTCAACAAAAGTTTTATTGGTATACAATTTTTTCAGTAGCTTTCCCGCTATTGTTCTATTTTCAGGAGACATGTGAATCCATGGTGAAATTAACAGACTCGGATCTTTGTCCATCTCGGCCAGTTTGTCGTCACTTATGGAAGAAACTACATTGAACAATACCAGTGATAATTTATAGTTTTAAACAAATTCATTCTAGAATTACCAGACGTAATTCGTTCTTCAGAATTTATGCCGATCAACAGAGGAACTTTCTTAATATTTCCATCCATGTACGCTTGAAGTGCCGGGTAAGAAAAATCTCCGGTTTTTTCTGTAGTGGTTCCCATGATCAGTTTCGGCTGCAATAATAAGTTCGCTAAGCATAAAAACATCAATATTTACTTCACGTACTTGGAACAGGTCATCCGTTGATGCGTTTTGCAGGACTTCCAACAACTCGTACGAATCGTTAGAAGAAAATGATGCGTTTACGCGTCGAGCAAGAGCGAAGGCGTTTTCTCTGGCATTCACTTGATAAACGCCCCCTAATTGTGAACTACTCTCCATTATAGCACCGTGAAAGAGAGCTAAAAATATTGGGCTATTCATTGTGAAATAAAATATTGAATCAGCCTACGTTTTCCATCACTCCACGGGCCAAGTAGAAGCATATTGACTCCCATTGAACCGCAACTTTCCCCGGCGATAATTACTTGATTCGGGTTTCCTCCGAAGAGATGGATGTTTTTCTGTACCCACTTAAGGGCAAATTGCACGTCGATCATACCTAAATTGCCTGGTATTACTCCGTCTTCGGTGCTAAGGAAGCCTAAAAACGAACACCAGTGAGTCCAGTTTCATCATTATTTTTAACATTAAATTACCGAAGGGATTAAGGCGGTAATTAGTCGATACTACAATAATACCCTGCCCCATGAGATATTTTGGGCCATAATCATCGTATGTGCCAGATCCCCAGTTGAATCCTCCGCCATGTATCCAGAATAAAATGGGTAATGATTCGTTACCTCCTGGTATCTTTGCAGAAATAATATACTTGAATTTGAATGTGGCAATAAAGTAAAATACTCACCACTGGTGTGTAAACATTCAAATAAAGGCAATCTTCGGTTTTGTTGAGATTATATGCATTACTCTGGTAACAAACTTTTGTATTTTTGGTGGTGGGTAAAACGCCGGGCCATTTCTCGGGTTCCTGGGGTAGCTGAAAAATCATAAAAAACATGCAATTTAACATGTCGTACATGATTAAATCAACCAAAATGAACAATCCGGTTCTGCTTAATGATTATACGGATATGTGAACACTGAAGTTTATCCTAAATAGTTTTAGATAGAGCGAGTCGTGAGGATGGGAAAATGTTATTGCCTTTGAAACGAAACTCGAGGAAATATATTGAGTTACTTACTCTAATTTGCAGTTTTCAGAATTATAAATTTCTTAAGGTATTTATAGTGAAGCGTACATTCGGAAGTCAGCATTAGCAAGATGTGCAAATAAATGCATTTAACATGAAATGTGTTTAATTATTTAAATTTAACTCATTTAAATGTAATTAAAATGTATACTTACTCTGAATCTAAGTTTTCCAATCGGAGGCGCTGCGTAAGGTATTTCTTGGAATGCATAGTAATCTTTGCCATTTCCACTTTTTAATACATGTCCTTGAATTTTCCCAGAATGTACCTCAACTATCAAGTTTTCCTTAGTATCGCATCCCTAAAAAATGTTATGGTTTTTAAGCTTTGTATTTACAAGAAAAAAATATCAATATGGGGTACTCACACTTATCGGAATACCTGTAAATGATACAAACAGTAAAATTGTGCAAACTATTTTCATTTTAATAGAGTTTATTATACACTCATTCTAGTTCCAAAGTTGGAATGAATTATTATTACTTTGTAAAGTAGGTATATTTATTTTTTAGGAATGTACGAGTACTTGAGAACATTATCAATAGATAACAGAATTGCTTCCACATGAAAAAGATACAAATATCATTTAAAAAGGACATTAGGGATAGACAAATTTACGAAAAAAATTAACCAATTTTTTATTCAAATTATATGTATGTATAGTTCAGTATATTTAACCAAATTGAGCATACGGTTTCTCCATAAATTCTTCGATAATGGGTTTAACAAATTTGTAAACTCTTGGATCCGTTTGTATTTGGAACGTCGAATTTATATTCAGATAGGTTAGTTTTTCCGGGTCTGATTTCGGCCAAATTATGTTGTCAAGCAACGGATCAGCAGTGGGAGTTGGATTCCTGTAAAAATCGATGTATAGAAGGTAATGATATTTGCATTTTCTGATGGTGTAACACCGGGCACTAACAGCAATTATGTTTCGTTGCACCAGGTGCATGAATTATATTATACCTTCGGTCAAATTGACAATTTGTAATTTATTATTTAGTTATTTGAATTTTTATTTGTTGAAATCATATCGACCCGGTGCATAAATATCTGTAATGGATGTTTCAGTTAAAAAAAACCTACAAATATTTGACGAAATTCGTCCATAACCGAAGAAAACGCTTCATCATGCGCTGATCCTCAGCAGGAAAATCACTAATGTTGCTGTTGTTCTCGAATTCCCACCAATAATGCAAGTCTTCCATATGGCCCACTCGACCAGCACCTAAAAAGTAAATAAGAATTTAAAAGTATTCTACTGTTAATTCCTTGCCTACCGAAGAAACTCAGTATAAGCCTCGGGGAAATCAGATAAATTGTATGCAAGGTCTTTCTAAGAAAATTCTATTTTCGAAATGTAGGTGGTTTTAATTTTTCCGTTGCCAAAGTTTAGAGTTTAATTACTGAGAGAGCTTTTCTCTGTTTAGTGAGAGAAAATGCAATTGTGTTGGAAAATGCAAGGATAAACCTGTAAAAAAGTTTTTTGTTATATGTACTTAGTAGATCAACACTAGATCCACATTGTATAATTTTTGTACAAAAATTAGAGAGACAACTTTTTGATAACATCATTATTGTGTTTTATTTTACGTCATATTTTCAATATGCAATTTTAGAATATTTTCGTATTATCTTGAGTAGCTGTCACCGATAATTTAGATAAATAGGATAGCTTACCATTTGTCAAGTGTGCTGTTTACTATCTAAAATGCATTATAAAATAATAATAAAAAAACATATGTAATGACATTACCAGGCACAATGTATTGTTCATCCATCATGCCTCCTAATTTTCCTTTGTAAGAGAATTGATAAACGTAGTAGGGTGCAAGAGTTGAGCCCAATTCGATTTGTTTTCCTGTGGGAGTTGCAAACGATTGGTCACTGCTCCACTGTAACCAGAGAATGTTATACCATCAAAAATTTCAGAGTGTAATGTTTCTACTTACTCTAATATAGGCGGCAAAGTCTTCTACAAATGTAGAGTTAGTGTAAACCTTCTTGTACAATTTTCCAGCTCTTAGCCTCTTCTCAGGAGACATGTTTATGTTATCGTGGATTAATAAATTAGGGTTGTCGTCCAGATTTTTCAATAATTTTTTATTGTCACGATTCACAGCTGAAATTATTATAACTAAAATATTGACCAATTTTTAATTAACTGTTCTATTTTTACCGTATTTAATCCATTCTTCGGAATTCCATCCTAACAACATTGGTATCTTCTTTATATTCCCATCCATATAGGTTTGCAAAGGTAACAGAGAAAAATGTCCTGATTTTTCTATAACATTTTGCAATTTAATACCTGCTACTGCCTGAAAGGTATTATCAGCTTTAAATAGTGAAATTTTAGAATCAATAATTCAAATAACTAAATTTCAAATCAATTAAAGTCATACATTTAACAGTTCATCTGCGTTAGCTTCCTTCAGTATTTCTAAAATATCTTCTGATTTGTTTGAAGAAAAACTTGGATTCAATCTTTTCGCTATAGTAACGGCATTTTCTTTCGGTGTCCACTGAATTGTTCCACCAACCATAGACCCGCTTTCCTGGATAGCTCCATGGAATAGCTCTAAATATTACAAATACTTTTTAAAAGAAACGCCTTTAATATTAAACATCAAATTAAATACAAAATTCCTGCAATTTTCCCTAATTTCACATTGGGATCTAATTAGTAAAATTTGTCATTAAAACGTGAAATAAAATACTGGCTATGAAGAACACCGTTGTTCTCAAATATTAGCCCTTCAATGAGGATGAAGAGATGAAAGGATTTTCTCGATAGCGCCGGAATTAGGGATAATTCGTCAATATACGCCAAAATTCTATTAACTGGGGCAGCGTATCGCCTCGCTTTTAAATTTCCAATTCATTTATCTGCAGCATAAAAATCGCGCGGAAAATTTCAAAATGAATTAATCCAATAATATGTCCACTTCATTCCATTTATACCTTTAAAGCACAAAAAAGTATTACTCTAATAATTCTAAAAAACGCTATTGGTCATTCATTTTTAAGTTGGTACTTGTATTATTAGGGCCGTTTTATGGAAGTTAAGTGCCCTTACATGATTATTTATTGGACGAATAATACATACGCGTTTCTCCATTCCAATCTCCTAGCACCAGAAGCCCCACTATGGCTGATCCAGAACTCTCACCGGCAATAACTACATGATCTGGATTACCACCGAAGAGCCCAATATGCTTATTGACCCACTCAAGAGCCAACCTAGTGTCTTTTAAGCCTAGATTTGCAGGAATGATGCCGTCGTTGGTTGTGGCAAATCCTACAATAGCGTTTCCAATAAGAAAAGTAAACAAAATGGTAATAATTTAAGGGATTATGCATGCTTAATTTGCTTACGAAGGTTAGAATATTATTGTTAGGAACTCTATGCAAAGGTTACTTTCTCTTCGCAATTAGCATTTTCTTGAAATAATAAGGGAAGATAGATTTTGTGTAGTTAATTGGATTGATGAAACATTGTTCCGAGTAAATGTAGAGGGAATCAGCATAATAATTAAGTTACGCCGCAAAATTATTAAGCGTCCGCATTTCGTGGAAAATAAGCGGATGAATGACTTGATGAAATGATTCTGAACGATTGAAGTTACCGAATCCATTTAAGCGGTAATTTATAGCTACGACGACGATTTCATAGTCCATGATGTATTTCGGTCCATAGTCATTGTAAGTTCCGGAGCCCCAGTTTAATCCGCCGCCGTGTATCCAGAATAACACCGGTAAACGTTCAGCACTTCCAGGTTTCTATTGAATATAGCAATGAATTATAATCGGTTAATGAATTCACAAAGTCTAGTTATTCGCAATCTATTGATTAGATTCTGCCTCTTTTTTAATCAATACAAAGTGAATAACTGGAGTTAAACTAGAATTTTACATGCCGCCACGTTACTTACCACGGGAGAATAGACGTTTAAATACAAGCAATCTTCAGTTTTGTTTATAGTGTATTTGTTTTTTTGAACGCAAACTTTGGTGTTTTTAGTAGCATCCTTAATGCCATCCCAAGGTTCTGGTTCTTTAGGTAGCTAAAATATACAGTAAATCAACAGTTCTTTAATGAGTCAGTGAATGACTTATGCATCATAGGTATAAGTACCTGTAATCGATTTTTTCCTACAGGAGGAGTAGCATATGGAATTTCCTGAAAACCGTAATAATCCTTGCCCTCGTGGCTTTTTAAAACATGTCCCCGGATTTTACCAGGAATTAGTTGAACCACTAAATCGTCGTCCTAAAAATTTGAAATTTTTTACCAGTTTCCTAAAATCCTTGACATTTAGCATAGGTATGCTCATTTTTTTGTTAAGGTGGGTAAGTTTTTATTAATGGTTCCTCTTAACTTAAATACTTACTACAGTTACTGCAAACCCACATTTTAAGTAAACAGTTATTAATAATAGTAACCAAAACATGTTTGAATTTGAAACTAAATTAGATTAAATTTTTCTTTATCGAATTGGTAAAATATCTACTTTCAAATCTCGAGTGGGTAGATGCCAAATGTAGATATTAATTTTACATGAGAGTTAGCAAATAATAGATAATTATGACATACATTATACAGTATGTCTCACAACACCACTGTAAAAGGCCTAGGATAGGTCATTCATTAATTTCATTTATTAACTCATTGATTGTCTGATCAAAAGCGGGAACAAAAGCATTCCAAAAGGAATGGTATGAAATGTTTTCCAAAAGCATTTTTGTATACAAAAGTAGCTAAGAGTATACAAAAATTAGAACAACATCTAATTTCTCAATTCAGTGCACACAACACCAAGGGAAGCAACCAAATATTTTCGTCGAAATAAAACGTTTATTCCCTTTTAACTCGACGTTATCAAGCGCATGAAAGTATGTTTTTGATCTCGTACGTGTATTGTAGATCTCTTGTGCTCTCCACCTGTAAACATTTAACGATTCAAGCCAGGCTTTCCGCTTTCATCGGCTTTGTCTGAAACGTTGAAGTTTCTCTCGGGTGAATTCCTTACCATATTGCACTATATCTCCCCTATTTTGCGTTTTAAAAGGTATAACGTTTTCCAATTTTATTTTGCATGCTTTACCTAACTTTACAGTGTGTTAAATTGGGTACCCAATAGAAAGAATTTTGGTTTCTATTTTCTCCTTAATCTTAAAAAATAGTGGTTAAAAAGTACAATCTTCGGTAGATTTTTTTATTGACATTTAATTCCACTTTTAATGAATTTCCACGAGGTTATTTTTTTATATTGCAGTATTTAGAAGCTTCTTGTTATTTTAGTGGTTTCTTAAGCATTTTTTTATGACCTACTTAGAAGAGTGCCATAAAGCAGGGCCTTTTATCAGGAGAAACTTTTTTGAGTATTCAATAATCGCGTAAACTCTCTACATATACATCCAGGTAAAGCACTATACGTAAAAAAATTATTTTCGTAACTTTCGGCATGATAAATCCAGTCTATTTCATTCCAGACAATTTTTGCAGAAGTTTTCATTGTAGGGACTAAAGCGGCTCTTTTAACTGTAACTGTCAACTCAAGGAAAATAAACGATTTCTCCCGAGAACAAGAAAGTGGGAGGAAAGCATCTAAATTTCATCTTTTAGGATACACGGCCTTATTGCTAACGATGCGCTTGTTTATGTGAAACCGGGCCTGAAATTGCCCCTAGCGAGGACTGAAAACGCTCGAAGGGAATATTCAGAATGCGTGTAGCAGTTGTTAGATTCGCACTGCGTGAGGTATCGAATTTTCGGCGTGAACCGGGTGAATTGTTGAGTGAAAAAATTATGTGATTTAATCGAGAAACAAAGTAAGTGTTTAATAAATTTATTATTTTCCCTTTTAGTCATTACCCCGTGAGTACAAACATGTTTTGATCTCGAGATTCAGTAAAATTGTAACGTTTTAATTAATTTCTCCGAAAAGTTCAAAAACTAGAAATGTGTGAAGTACCTACAGAGATTCAATATTATTTTCTCAAGAGCTCAAAACTATACAAGAGTTTGTTTTAAGTCAATCTGGAGTTTTAATGAAACTTTGTATTTGCTATTATAATTTTAATCCCTTTAAAATTTTCCTAAATTTCTAATTAAATGGTAAACAACGAATTATCAAAAAATTAAAGTGTAACTTAGATATGAAACTATAGTAATGTTCCCTATAATATAAATTAAAGTGTAATCAACTTAGTAATCAATCAAGCTCAAAATACATAGCTATTTGACACATAAATGATGGAAATTAACATTATTGCATTAAATTTAATCCCAAATCAAAGTGTCGCTGTTCGAATATGTACAATAAACTTGATTAGATTTCATTCATAATTAACAGAGAATTTAATTTGCATAATTACATCTCATTTAACCGAAATTAAATTCCTTTAAAGGTAAATTGTTTCAAAAACTATTAAAATTTAATTATCTCAACCACCCTTTGTTTTTTAATCAAATTTTTACATCGACTGGCTCACAGATGTTTTTTTCATCTTTTTCAATTGCTTCGTTAGACGGTAAAGGTAGAAATATGTTCTGCTGGATACCGGAAAAATTATATTTTATCGTTTAGATCAGGAAATAGAAATTTCAACTCAGAAATACCTTGCTAAAAATAAATCGACCTTTCTAAAATAACGAACGCTTCAATACCGCCTCAATCAGGGATATCACATTAATAAATAAAATACCCTCAACCCTCAATAAACTTTTCAATTGATTTCTAATTTACCCGTTACCAAACATCTCAACTAATTTCGTTATCCAACATGATATATCAGTTATCCCTTTTCAGGTAGATCAATGTCATATCCACTGGGGGAAAATTCCACGCAAATTAGCCCCGTCGGCCTGGAAGATGGATTTGTCGAGTCCTTCTTCCTCTCGAGGGGTTTCGGAATTTTGATGCTCTTTCTGGTCATAATCATGATCAGCGTGTTTATGTGCATCACGCTAAAAAAAGACACGGGCTATTTGTGGCCTTTGGAAGGATCGCCTCAGCACGACGAGTTCGAGTTGAATGTGGAGTTTCGCTATACGGCGGGAAACTCCGTTGAAAGTGAATGTAGCAACCGGAGTGGAAATGAGGTCAAGCAATTTTGACGTTTACTATAAAATCGTTTAAGAGGAATATTTTCGTCATGAATGTTTTATTCTTGTAAGGTAAATAAATAAGTAACGAAACGAAACGAACGAAACAATTATTTATTACGAACACCACTTTTTTAGGTTTTGATACAGTAATTTTTGAAACTTATATTAGTCGATGATTAGGCGAATAAATTACACGTTTTTTTAGTTATAGCAAGCGTTACTACTATTACAATTACTTTCCAACAATACAACAATTTGTAAAGTATGAGGCTGAATTTATCCCGCAAAATCGATCCGCACACCTCATTTTTCCCGTTATTTTTTTTTACTTCACTTACAAAATTGCTCTTCCTCACTAAATTTCGGCATCTTCAATTTTAATTGTCCAACCACTTGTAGGACGTCTCCGTCTATTTCACTAAAATCGTATCCGGGAAAATTCTCGACGAGAAAATCGCGCAACTTGAGGGAAAACAATTCGGTTATAAACAACACCAATTCCCGTTTTTTATTATCCACGTTTGTAAAATTCTAAAAAGGGAAATGAAAAATATAGGTACGATTTAGTAACAAATTAACAGGAATTCATTGAATACAATTTGTTGAATACTGTTTTTTGGAATACTTACATCAGCAAATGCGTTAAAATAGTTTATAAGATACTTTAAATCGCGGATAACTTCGTTTACTAATGAATATTCTTCAGTCTTGAGTTTATTTACAATAACGTCTAAATCGATTATAGGAGCGTAGTAAGTCTGAAATTAAATTAAATTAATGCGCTACTATAAATAAAGTAGATAATACACGTACCTTGTCAGCGGCATCGAGCCCTTCTAATATATCATATTGCCTCAATTCGTTCAGTAATTCCTCTAAAACCGCCACACCTGTGTCAGTTATACCATCGTCGTTTTCGTATATTCCATCAATATTCATCTTCTGTACTTTCCTAAAATTCCTCACAGCTCCGTCTAAAATCAAATCTAAATCCGGCTATATTTTTATCAATTTTTTATTTTGTTTCAAAACTACCTTTAGGCGGCACAAATCCATTGGGAAAGGTCTCCTTCTCGTTTCTGGCGCACTTTCCGCGCTGCAAAACTTTGATGGGCGACGTCTTCTGGATGTCCCCGTCCAATTGCGGCAGCGATTCGTAAAAGGTAGACGCGTCCACGAAAAACGATCTCATGTCATGAGTGGATGACGATATCGGCGAATGCTCCCCGAAATCCGAAAAATTGCTGCTCAACAACCACTCGTGGACGCTCAAGTGCGACGATAAATTCTGTTGCTACAATCAAACAAATCGTTTAAACAAAATCATAGTTAAACAGAATAGGTTCAACGTGAGTTTATTTCAACATACAGCATTATTTATGTTGTTCATCTCAACATTTTTTTCTCTACAACAACGCAGTTAGGGAGAAGAAGTGTCTAGAGAGGGAATACTTACATCGATTTCAGCTTCGGAGGCGATGTCTTGCAGGATTTTGGTATCGCCGGGTTTTTTAGCGCCGCTAACGCTCACGTTACCCCAATATCTGTCGTTGGCCGTTTGAGCTTTGTTGATATTTTGAGCGGTCTCCAAGAATTCGATGGCTCTTGGGCTGGGGACGGTGCCACCGCCGTCGTAGCTGTCTCGTTTCGGAACGTTGTAGCTTCCAGGCTTCAAATAATCCTATTATACAGTGCTTTTATTTCAAAAGTAGAAAGTCCGAGTGATTTTGTGCGATTTTATAAAATACCAGAAACGCGTCAATTACCTCTAAAGAGGATGGATCTGAGGGAAAAATGTCGATGTTATTTTATGAAATCATACCGTGAATAATAAGTAGGACAAAATACAAAGAGTGGTACACATTTCAAAAAGAATTTTTAAATTATTTTCGGACATTTAATTCATTTGCCTTTTTCATAGTAATGGGCTGATATTTTTAACTTTCCTCTTCCTACTATAAAAAAGTTAACGAGTTGCTGGTTTTTCATAAAATTACAAAAAAAACAAAAATTATTTGGACTGCCTAGATTTGAAATGAAAGCGCTGTATATAAATAGAAACAGCCTAAATTTTCATTAGAGCAGATTTACCACCCGATGAGAGATTTAACGATTGAATGTATACGCATTTAATGCAAATGAAAAGTGACATGGGAAATTTGCAGAAATAAAATCGACTATCGAAGATATTAAACAATTATTTATTATCATCGTAAGCATTGCATAAATAACAATAGTCACAAAACAACGATTAGCAAACCTACCTTTCGGTCTTCTTCGGAATCGAAGCTTCCCTCTTCCTTGTTAGCGGAAAAGTCCCCGGCGTAAGTTTGATTGGCCTGATCCACGGTTTCGGCCGTCGAAGTAACCGGCAAACGGATGATTCCTCTCACGTTCTTTGAACGGAAATTGTTTATAGATATGTTCGTCAAAGTCGATGTTGTAACGTTCTCTAACGTGGAAACTTTCTTACCAATGCATTCAGTCGATGTCGGTGTTTTTATTACCTTCAAATACAGTTACAGTTTGTTCAAATTCTACATATTATAGAAATAGAAGTTAAGCTATAAAATATGTTTAGGTGTAAGGTTTATATGTTTTTATACCTGCGGTGTCACTAGATTAGTGTCTAAATTGTAAAATACTCTGGTCAATTGGGCTGCCAGCTCCATCGTTTCCTTTTCCCACCTAACGTAGCATGCCCGAAATTCCGGAGTCAATTCCTTTTCGATTTTTCCCAAGCTGGCACCGTCTCTATTCTCCCAGTATCCCTTCAAGATATGCCAGCAATTCGTGAGACGCACAAAGGCGTAAATGAAATCCTTCGTTGCCCAAGGAATGCCTAAAAAATTTTCAATTTTGCAGGATTCCAATTTTACGGACACTTAACTCGGTACGGTCTTTTAAAAATCAATTGATTGTAAAAATCGCTCCTATTATGTATGTTTTATGGAAAAGTATATTTTGAAAAGTGTGGGCGCACCTTGGGAATGTATGTTCGAAATTGTAGTGCACGGTTTCAGTATCTCAGATCGAGTACGAATGCACAAATTCTGGATGTTTCGAAAGCACGGCCGATTCCTGTTTCTGTAGGCGATTTGCTCGGCAGTCAAGCAGCTGCGCTCAAGAAATTTAACGAAATTTTCCGGAGTTATAGTCTCTGTGTTCTCCTGCAAAGGATATTTGTCACCTTCAAAACTTAGCTAGATATTGCAATTAAGTTCAATGGCCCGTATTCAGCGCCTCTGTTTAACTTTAGAGTGACTCTAAAGTCGCGTCTTTAACTTAACAGATTTACATTGTTGTTATGGAGTAACTAAGGACTCGAGACGCGAGTTTAGAATCACTCTAAAGAGGCGCTGAATACGGCCAATAAATTCGTTTTTTATACACATAGATAGCCAAATTCCCGACGTACCGTCAGCTGAATGTCTTTATTGGGCGGCGACACCTGGCCGTAATCGCAATTAGAAATCTCGTTCAAATGCTCTGCATCGTTGTTTTCGTCTAGCGAGCCGGCCTTTTCTCTCCTTTCCCTAGTCACGGCGTTGATAATGACATCAGTACTGCTGACGGACGAGCCGTATATCGGGGGCGTACTGGCGACGTGACTGATTGGCACAGAGTACTGGTTGCCCATGTTGTATTGGGTGTACTGGTAGTGCTGCAGGTAGGGCCGAGGCACCGGCGGCGGCGGGTAAGTCAGCAGCGAAGGCACCGGAGTCCGGTAGCCCACGGCCGGGTAATAGGTAGGGTATACATTCCCTTGGCAGCTGCACATGTGGTGCATGTGCAAGTGGACGTTTTGTTGTTGACTGGACGTATTTTCGGAACGGTTCTGCTCCATGTTATTGCAATATGGAAAAAACAAAATTAAAGATAATCCTGAAACAAAAAAAATATCTTGGGGAAATGGATAATGTTTCTTGGAACAGTTCCTATGAACCTATTAATATAGATAATGTTTTCTAGTATAGGTCAAGTCTTTTTTTGCATTTTATAGAAAATTCTTTGTGAAACGATATGAATAATTTAAATATTTGCATTTTTTATAGAAGGTAAATATAACTCAACAACTAAGATTTTTGAATTTCTTTTAAATTTTGCCACCAGCTGATATATACAGAGTGATTTAGTTTTTCAAATTGTATCAGTTCGCCCCTTGCTTCCAAAAATTAAAGTCATAAAACTAAAGAAATAAATTTTGTAGAATTCAAAAGATTTTTTGAAACAAAACAAACAATTTTTTTAAATTGAAATTTTATTGGCCCTTAGCTATTTGCGTCACAATTAAAACGAGTATGAAGTAGATCAATGTGTCAAAAACAGCTGTCAGTTTTTTTGTTAACATTAATTCTATCAAAATTAATTAAAGCAAGTTTATATTGTATAATTCAAAATTTACGATATAATTGAGGCTTGTTCGGCTCAAGCTATTAAATGCAAAGTTCCTGCCGAAAAGACAAACTTATGACAGTGTCTGGAAATTCAAAAATAATATATCTGAAATTTTTTTAAATTGTTCAACTGTACAAAGTTTATTCCATGAATCAAGGTCTTTAATTTTTAAATCAGTGGTTTTTGATTGAATTTTATTCTAGTGTGAACTAAATTAATTTGCAAAAAAATTTTTGAACGTTGTCACAACAAATAAATTCTCATTGAACGCATTTTTAATGCTTATCAGACAAAATTAAATTTATGTAATCAAATATATTTAAAAAAAATTAAAACTTACCTCTTGTTTCTTATTTTCTATTAAATGTAATATTTAAAATCAATTATAACAAACTCGAATTAAAAAACTAACATTAGATTTGTCATTTATAGACAACAAAATGTCAGAGCTATAAACAACAAACTAGATAAATAAAAAAAAATTAAGCCCCTTTCTGTATGATAATAACAAAAGTAAAATCTGACAAATGGCATTTTCTGTATCAGTAGTTGGTAATCTTGTAGTGAATCTTTAGGATCTACAAGACTCATCTAGTGTGTTGGTTAAAAGGATTTAAGAAAAACATCAATATCAAATTTATTCCGCGAATTTAATTTCGTTTAGTATGTGATTTTTTGATTGTAACAATACGAAAACAACTTTTATATCTTAATTTTGGTATGCACAATTCGTATAATCGCTTAACTTAGCAAAAAAACAGAAACATTTTACGAGACTAGTTTGAATTAAGTTTATTTCAAAAAAGTAAGTTAATGCTAATATTTTTACAAATATCTACTACTTTGGGCGCTCATTAAATTACTAATAATGTTTAAAATTAAGTTTATATAAACTTGTTGTGATGTAGTGTTTTTTCATTTCTTAAATATTTGTGTAATAAATTTTGGGACTAGATACAGGGAGTTCCTGATATACTTAGAACATTATCTCAATAGTAAAGGAACACCCTATATCTACAGATATAATAAAAGGTCAGTAACTATTTTTCCATGTTCAATAAGTTGTTTTTCTAAATTGAATTCGTATAATATTTGATTTATTAAGTTATCAATAAATAGATAGGTCAACAACGTCTATTAACTAGTTACTAAATCTTAATGAATTTTATAAGTAATTTAGAACGTACGTACGTAACGTTTAGAATGTACTTATAATGTGATAAAAAGAAATGGCATTAAAAATTAATAACAAATTTTATTTTTTTGTCTTAAGTTGTAGAATTGGTTATTAAAAAGAATATAGGTATTGAGAGATGGGAATATTATTTTCATTGTAAATTGTTCGTTAATATCACAATTTTTGACGATAACATTAAAAACCTCAGAAATAATTACTGTTTTCCTATTGTATTAGTACATTAGTAGTATTATAAATAACTGCTATCTCGAAATATAATTATTATAGCCTTAACAAAATATTTGTTGCTAATAAATAAAAAACGTTACTTTTTATCGATCAAATTACGTTTCATCTATCCATACTATTGCTGCAAAAATGCGAGCTCTCTATGGAACCAGTATGTATTTCTAATTAGGTAATAGTTAATATTATTAATTTAATACGTTAATTATTAATATTATATCGAAGAATGGCAGGTTGATTTTAATTATTCATTGTTAATAACGAATTTACAAATATTTGTATAGCAACATAAGTGTAGTATGCACTATTTATCTGAGAGCTTTAAAAGATGAAAGAATTTTTATTTCTGAATTTTTTTATTTATGAAAGAACCATTTTTTTCATTGATAAACTACTTTATAATGATACAGCACCCGGACTAATTCATTGTGCTAATTAAAAAATAGTGCGTTCTACACCAATATTTAACAAGTTAAACACAACTCGAATAAAGTAATAAATTTGTACATACTATGTATGTACCTATCAAAACGTATTCTTCGAATGAGCGATATGTGAGCACATCTAAAAAATATTGCAGTATTTTCCCTAATAAATTACTAGGTACATTCCGAATTGGTATGAATTATCCAACCTCTAGACGTTTATTTTCAACAATATCAAACCGAGTATTAGTGGAATAGAAGCTAAAAGTGCCGAGCTTCCGTTGCAGTTGTCATTTTGGCACGCGCAAACTTCCTGTCTTCCTCCGAAGCCGGATCTTTGGTAGCATTTGTTGGCATATTGACTATCGTCGAAACCGCAAGTTCTAATTACTCTACTGTCAGGTTGCACTGTAAAATGGATGATATTAAATTGAGAAATTAAGAAAGGGGATTACAGCAGGAAGATTTCAGGGATTGCGGAAATTTAAGTTTTATTGGTTATGTATATGTTTCATAGATAAAAAGAAAAATATTACCCATGGATGGACAAAGGATGCATGAAAAATTTGGATTTCAAAATTTTTCGAATTAGAGAAAATGCGGCAAAAAATTAGTGTACAGTGTACAAAGTGTAGAATATTTTCCAATTGAGATGATAATTTTATACGAAATATTGAATTTAATCCACTGCATTCGCCAAATTTCAAAAATATATAAAATAGGAATATGAAATATTTAGAATAAGAGTGATTGGGAAAAAATAACCTTATAAACTTAATGGTTAGACCTTTTAACAAGGAAAATCCGGATAAGTCACTCTACTTTTTTGGATTTTAAAGTAGGTACTCGTAAAAGTACTCCGCTAGTATTTTCTATTGACCACGTAATGATCATATAATAACAATGTAGTGCAATGACCATACTTTTAATGTCATGATAAAGAAGTATAGAAATAAATAACACATGGGATAGTCTGGATATTTTTACTTACGACCATTGACTTCGAAATCAATAACTTGCTTGATCTTCCTGCAAAGAGAATAGGGCTTTCCCTTTCTCTCCGGGCAATGTTTCTTCATGTCATCTGTTAATTTGTTGTTCTCATCGCCTAAACACCGTTTATCGCTGACGCTATTGCAATCGTAACATGATATTGCTCCACCTGAAATGCAATTTATCGTGAAATAGTTTTAGTAGTAATATTTACGTTACTGTTTGCGCGTATTCATGACCGAATTTCCGACATTTCGACATTTGCCCAAGACGTTTTCATTTAAATTTCTGCGTAAATTTTAGTTCTCTATTGTGCGATTTAACGATGGCGATAATAAATGAACTTATAGTTCTCAAATTCTAATTAAAATTTCGATCGTTAACATGTACACAATATTTTCCTACCCACCATGACAAACTCAATAAGTTTGCGATACATACGAAAATTATAAATTTATTGTTATCTGTACGGATTTTTCAATTATTGCCGAACAGGTACCAGCCTGTGACTTCGAATTTTTCATTTTTTTAATTGCATTTTTTTTAATTCGACAATAATGTATATAGGAAATATTTAATGTTTTCCAGTAAATTTTCAACGCGATTTTAATTAAAGATGAGCTTTTTACAGGATGTTAAAACTAAAACGTCGTGCGTTTTATTTAGCAAGCCCATTAGCGGCAAATTTTCTTTTTTTATACCAAGCACTCTCAATTTTCTTCATACAGCACACACTTTACGCAAGAATTAGACTCATTTACACATATTTTTCCGACGCCTTTCACACTGAATCATTATGTAATTCAATCATTTGCGATGCCAATTAATTCAAAGGACATTATTTATTTCGATCAAACCATTAAATACTAAAATAAGTTTGGAAAACTTACTCTTATATATGCAGATTACAGCGAATAATAGTAATCCCAAGAAACACTGCCAGCGGCCCATTGTAGGTACAGTATGTCAGATCGATCGTGCACGAGCAAAATCAAAAACTACAGGCACAAAGGGCACAAGGACGAAAGATGAATCGTAACAGGCACAGAATGAAAGGCCGAGAGTGCGCAGTTGGATCGCTTGGAATTTTATTACGGACGAAAAATTGCCGGATGAGACCGTTTTTCGGCGTTAATAACACATTAAAACTCAAAGAGCGTTGGAGTAATGCCTTGTGGATTGTTTAGTTGATTGAATGTGTTCCCCATAATGTACTGACGGATAAGCTGGAGTAAAAACATTTTTTTAAATGCCGTTTCGTACAAAAATTTGGTGATTCCCACATGTATAATAAATGAACACAATTAATTTACATCAACTTATTTATTCTTCTAGTTTCCTATAATAAGGACTATTAAGTAAATAATAATACTATATTTTTTTCCTCATTTTACCTATAAAATATATTTAAAAAATCTTCTACTCTGAATCATACTTAAAATGTTCGGTAGCCCCAGTTAAATTACAAAGTAAGTCAATTGAATAATTTTTAACTTCCCTCGTAATCTTATGATTACCAAGAGTCCTTTAACAACTTAAATGATTTATGTAACACTCATTTTTCTGTCTTTTTAGCTACTCTAATTTAAATAATTAATAAAAGTACCTATATGTATTTCATTCATTGCATAACGAATAACAAGTTTTATAGTGTACATAAAAAATAGACAAAATGTTATAATCTGCTACGAGATGAATATATTTTTTTGTATATTTTATTCCTAATTGAAGCTTTTTTCCTTTAAATTGTAATTTTATTAATTCCCGACAACATTGCATTATTTTCAGAATTTTTTTATGCAGGGTGTTTCTCTACTATCTGTCATGTTTACTGTATAATCTTGAGTAGGTACATTTTTCTGTGTTTCTTAATTACTTCATTAGTTTGTGCAAAAATCATATACAAGGTTTATTCATAATACCTTCAAAAATATAAGTTAGGGAATTAAGTTGGGTATTTTTAAAGTTCTTCGTTATTTTTTCTCATGTGTAATTTAGAGCAATTTATAAATTCGACCTTGTCTGGAATGTTCAATATTAACATTATTAACACTATAAATTATTATGAATAAAGTCTACTACTTTCCTATTGCCTTGCTAAAGAATTATCAATGTTTATAGATAAAATTTAGCAGGAAAAATTAATGAAACTATCTACCAACGAAAGGAGATTGTGAAAATAAGGAAAATTTGAATTCAAAAATAGCATTTTTGAACAATTTCATTTATTGGCAGGTTTTATATAAAAAATCTAGGTAATTAATATTTATTTCGGAAGGAATAAAAATTTTATGCCATTTGATCGTATTTTAAACAATCAATTTGAGGTGTTATCGAATATTTCTAATTTTGTTATCTGAAAACAAATAGTATATTACTATTTAAAATTCACACAACGTCACAATACGAACCTCCATATTTAACTGGCCAGCAATTGTAAATGTTTATTTTCGAAGTTAAAATATTTTTACGATACATCCTCATCCCCCACAATGCATTTTCCAATAAATTCTAGATGTAACCAATAAAATCTTATTGATCAATTAATATTCACCATCCCGCAAGGAAACAATAGCTTTAAACAAGTAATAAGTAAGGCTAGCAATAAACGAATTTATTATTTTTAAATTTCATGTCGCAACCATAAAGGGTCAATTTTCTAGTTCACCCTTTATGCGCCCACATGAAACAATTCAATTAATTTCGAATTTTTTATTGTGTATTGTACTTTTTATTGCTATTTTCTTATTATTTCTTATTATTGTTACTATAAAACGATATTTTTTATAAATATTTTTCATTTGGTCAACAGTTTCGACCGGATATTATGTATGATGGCCGACCTATCGTTTCGGATACATGGAACTCTAATAATATTAGTTGTAATTTTATCTGGTGCTAATGGACGTAAGTAGAAAATTTCGGAATATGTATAATTATAATTCGAAGGTGCAGTGTTTCCATATTGAAGAGAGTTCTTGTGCTTTTTTAAACCGATTTCGAAGTACAACAATAATTTGCCCATTTTCGACATAGTTTTAAATTTTATTTGCAATAAGAAGTGTGTCCAGTTATTACCTAATACCCCTGCAAAAATTCTATGCATTAGTTATACGTAATTTTTTGTTAACATTTTTTAAATGGAGATAATTTATTTCTCCAGCAGCTTGAAGGTTGAAATAATATTTCTTTATTGGAACTTGCAGTAAATGGATTGTAATTCGACAGGGTAAAATAATACTTGGATTGTAAGTAGGTAAGTTTGGTTCGATGCTACAAATTTTATTAAAATTGTAATTTTCTAGAAAACAAGATTCCTCCAGGTTGTTGAAGACATTTTTAAAATTTAATTCTCAAAAAAATGTATTTAGCAGCACGGTACGTACCCAATATTTTTTGTATCTAACAAATTTTGATATATGTTTTTATAGAATTACAAAATATAAATAAATATTCGGAATATATCCGAAGCACATTAACTGGACACACTTGGTCGTTGCATTATCGTAATTATCGTAATACAGATCGATATGTATAACAAGAGATGCTAAATGCCGCGAATGTGAAGTGCGCAGGGGAAAGGGCATAAAAAATATTGGATCTCATTAAAATTTTTGGTATATCTGTCGATCTGTCTGGATATCTATCTTATCACAAACAAATAAATGACATGATAAAAAAATATATTATAAATAATCTTGTAATCAAAAGAAACATTCCACACTGCCACGAAAACATGCATCTTAAAACAAAAAAAAATAATTAAAATGTACCTACAGGGTGTCCCAATTACTCTCAATATACAAAAATATATCGAATATATAAATTTCGAATATAAATAAATAGTAGCAATTTTCTATAATTTATCCTCGAAAATTCTGTACACCTAACACTGAAAAAGGATAGTTGACCTTGAAAATGATTATAGGGTGATCAAAAAAATATAAACAATGTATATTTCTTAATTAATCTCAAATAATTAAAATCGAATTTAAAAATTTACATAATCTCATGAATTCATATTTTTAGGATACCACGGTAAGTTACAACAATCTACCCAAATCCCATTAAAACAACCTTAAAAAGGGGTAAGTAACATGAGGATACTTTTGAAGACACCATTATGCAGCCACATCAGTAAGACACCTCTCCTATACACAAACACACACTTTAACCTTTTTACAAACATACTGTATTTACTCTAAACTTGCAGATAAATTACGGATCCACCACGACGCCTTCGATGAGAGCCCGATAAGTGTCAACCTACCCAAGGATTCGGTCCAATCCATCGTGATAGAATTCGAAAATCCCAGCTGCCTCAACACCAACACTAAAGTCACGAAGCACAGACGTACTCTAGACGATGGCAATCCGACTCACATAATCAATCAGCCCGTCATCAACCTTTACGTTAACGTTCCACCTCCGGATTACTGCGCAACTAGTAGTAAACTGACTTCTGAATCGTCGTCGAGTTCCAGCAGCTCATCGGAGTCCAGCGGTTCGTCGCAATCCAGCAGCTCCAGTAGCAGCTCGAGTAGTTCTTCTGAATACGGCTCATTCAGCAGTAGTTCGTTGAGCGAAGAACCCAGCCTAAGTAGCAGCAGTAGCAGCAGCAGTAGCAGCGAAAGCGATGAAAGCAACAGCGGTAGCAGTAGTAGCAGCAGTGAAAGCATTGATAGTAATGGTAGCAGTAGCAGCAGCAGCAGTAGTAGTGAAAGCGATGAAAGTAACAGCAGTAGCAGCAGTAGTAGTAGCGAAAGCGATGAAAGCAACAGCAGCAGTAGCAGCAGTAGTAGCGAAAGCGTAGATGAAAGCAACAGTAGTAGCAGCAGTAGCAGCAGTGAAAGCAGTGAAAGTGTTGAAAGCGCAAGCAGCAGCAGCAGTAGTAGCAGTGAAAGCGATGAAAGCAGCAGCATCAGTAGTAGTAGTAGCAGCAGTGAAAGCGATGAAAGCAGCAGCATCAGTAGTAGTAGTAGCAGCAGTGAAACCGATGAAAGCAGCAGCAGTAGCAGCAGTAGTAGCAGCGAAAGCGACGAAATCAGCCGTAGTAGCAGCAGTAGCAGCAGTGAAAGCAGTGAAAGTGATGAAAGCACAAGCAGCAGCAGCAGTAGTAGCAGTGAAAGCGATGAAAGCAGCAGCATCAGTAGTAGTAGTAGCAGCAGTGAAAGCGATGAAAGCAGCAGCAGCAGTAGCAGCAGTGAAAGCGATGAAAGCAACAACGGATCAAGCATTTCATCCAGTAGTAGCGAGTCAAGTGATTCGAGCAGCAGTGAATCTAGCAGCTTAAGTGAAGAATCCAGCAGCAGCAGCCAATCCAGTAGCAGTGAATCAAGCAGTGAATCGTCTGAATCGAGTAGCAGCGAGTCTAATTCATCAGAAAGTGAATCGTCTAGTAGTAGTACTAGCGAATCAAGCAGTTTGTCAAGTTTAAGTGAATCCAGTTCTAGCCAGTCCAGCAGCAGTGAATCAGACGTTAGCGAATCCAGCACATCAGAATCAAGCAGCAGCGAGTCTAGTAGCCAATCAAGTTCCAGCGAATCTAATAGCAGTGGATCGAGTGCCAGCTCAAGTAGTAGTAGCAGCGAATCTTCAAGTGAGTCCAGCAGTCAATCCAGTTCCAGCGAATCAAGCGCCATCGATTCGAGTAGTAGTAGTAGCGAATCCGATGAATCTAGCAGTAGTTCTGAATCAAGCTCCAACGAATCTAGCAGCAGTGAATCGAGCGAATCAAGTAGCAGTAGCGAATCTGCAGAAACTAGTGAATCAAGCTCTAGCGAATCTGGTAGTAGCAGTAGCGAATCAGCAAGCTTATCTAGCTCGAGTTCCAGTGAGTCAGATGAGAGCGGTTCAAGTAGTAGCAGTAGTGAATCCAGCGAATCCAGTAGCAGTAGCGAATCCAGCACGGCTGAATCTAGCAGTCAATCAAGTTCAAGCGAATCTGGCAGTAGTGAATCAAGCTTAAGCGATTCAAGTAGCAGTAGTAGTAGTGAATCTGCCAGTGAATCCAGCACAAGTGAGTCTAGTTCCAGCGATTCTAGCAGTAGTGAATCAGGCACAAGTGAGTCAAGCAGCAGCAGTAGTAGCGAATCGGAAAGCCTGTCCAGCTCAAGCGATTCAAGCAGTAGCAGTACCGAATCTTCAAGTGAATCCAGCACAAGTGAATCTAGCAGCCAATCTAGTTCTAGTGAATCGAGCGCCAGCGATTCGAGTAGCAGTAGTAGTAGCGAATCCGCAATCAATTTTGAATCGAGCAGTAGCGAATCATCAAGTAGCAGCAGTGAATCCGACAGCCTATCGAGTATAAGTGAATCCAGCTCTAGCCAATCCAGCAGCAGTGAATCAAGTAGTAGCAGCAGTGAATCTACCAGCGAATCCAGCAGCCTATCGAGTATAAGTGAATCTAGCTCCAGCCAATCTAGCACTAGTGAATCGAGTAGTAGTAGCAGCAGCGAATCTGCAAGCGAATCCAGTGACAGTGGTTCGAGCAGTAGCAGTAGCGAATCGACCAGCGAATCCAGCAGCTCCAGCGAATCAAGCGCCAGCGACTTAAGCAGCAGCAGTAGTGAATCTGCCAGCGATTCTAGCAGTAGCAGTAGTGAATCAAGCGCCAGCGACTTAAGCAGCAGCAGTAGTGAATCTGCCAGTGATTCTAGCAGTAGCAGTAGTGAATCAAGCGCAAGTGAATCTAGCAGCCTATCAAACGACAGCGAAGCTGTCAGCAGTGATTCAAGCGATTCGAGTAGCAGTAGCAGTAGTGAATCTGCCAGCCTGTCCAGTTTAAGCGAATCTAGCAGCCAATCAAGCTCTAGCGAATCTAGTGCTAGTGATTCAAGCAGCAGCAGTAGTGAATCTGCCAGCCTGTCCAGTTTAAGCGAATCTAGCAGCCAATCAAGCTCCAGCGAATCTAGTGCTAGTGATTCAAGCAGCAGTAGTAGTGAATCCGCCAGTATGTCTAGCTTAAGCGAGTCTAGCAGCTCATCAAGCTCAAGCGAATCTAGTGCTAGTGATTCAATCAGCAGCAGTAGTCAATCAGCTAGCGAATCTAGCTCAAGCGAATCTAGCAGTCAATCAAGCTCAAGCGAATCTAGTGCCAGTGATAGCAGCAGCAGTAGTAGTGAATCAAGTACCAGCAGCAGCAGTGACTCAAGTATTAGCGAATCCAGCAGTAGCCAATCCAGTCAAAGTGATTCAAGCAGTGAATCTAGCTCCAGTGAATCAAGCGCCACAGATTCGAGTAGTAGCGACAGCGAATCCAGACAAATTGGCTTAAGCAGCGAAGCAAGTATTACCGAATCGAGCAGCAGTAGTAGCAGCGGTGAATCGAGCAGCAGTAGCAGCAGTGAATCAAGCTCGAGCGATGGAGCGAGCACAGACGAAAGTAGCAGCAGTAGCAGTCAATCCTTAACCGACGAATCTATCAGTAGTAGCAGCAGCAGTAGATCTTCATCCGACGAATCCGCCAGCATTAGTAGCAGCAGCATCAGCAAATCTAGCGGTTATAGCAGCGGTGGTAAGAGTAGCAGCAGTATTTCTGTCAGCAGCAAGGAAGAATTTAGGAAAGAACCGAAGAAAGTCGACATACCAGTTTTGGTTATGGAATGCTCTATCGTTCATTTTACGGGAGTTTTGAGATCAATGTTTACTGTCGATAAAAATCCTGCCAAGAAAACGTTCAAAGAATGCATGAAGAAGGCCGAAATTACGCCGATAATCGATTCAACTGAATTACCAACCGCTAAACATTCTAAACACTCGAGAAAGCATCATTCCCAGAAGAATATCAAAGTAGATAATAGTAATGTGTACAGCCTTTCTGGGTTCAAAAAACACAAACATAAGAACCACTAAGAATCTATAAAACAATGAATACTTAGGATATTTATTTCAAGTTGAAGGCAGTTTTTATAAAGAATATATCAATAAAAAGTAAATTTGCAGTTCCATTTTTTATTACCAAAGTGAATTTTACCGAAGTAATGCCGAAATGTTTTGGATTTTCCATTTTAATTTTACGAAGAAATTTAGCATGTTTATTCATCCTGTAGAGTTACTGTGTTATGTTCTTGGTAATAAAATAAAAATGTTAAAATTCAGTCTTTTACTGTACACCAAACTTATGGAATTAAACATATTACAGATATTAAAGCAAAAATAGATTTCAACTAAAAATTACACATGACTAAACGATTCATGGAAGAATTCTTTCCATGGTAAATATGCAGTTTTTATTGATATGTTTTATTCTGTTACAAGTCTTGTTACAGTGAGACAGACAATTATTTTTGTATCACCTGTACAAGGTGTCTTATAAAAATCTCTTTTCAATTGACATTAATGAAATTTTATAAAATGGGACACCTTCTTTTTGTAGAATAACATGTACAAATGATACACTTTCGAAAATTAGAAGTCGTGTATATCTTTCTAAATACCTCTAAATACCCTATACTGGTAATACATAATTTGTGTCCTTGTAACAAAGGTTATAGCAAAATAAAACATATCTACGAAAACTGCATGTATTACGATTAGGCGTTTAAAAAGTTATAAGCTGATTAAATGGGCTACTTTTCATTGGGACACCCTGTATTGCGTACAACTTTGCGATTATCTGTATATTTTTGAGTTAGGAATAGGCATTCATATAGGAGTAAGGTGAGATAGGAAAGGGTACAGTAGTCATCAATTAAAAACCAATTTACACATGAACTCAACCTCAAGTATATTAGAATAATACATAATTATTACTAAACAATAAAAATAAACTTCTTAATTCTACAGGCAGTCAACACACTGCAAACTTATAAATTTTACTTTTGAATAGTATAAAACTGACCGTTCGACTACATATTTCAAAATAAGCTAACATATAGGTAGTTAAAAAATAATTGTTTATTAATAAGCGTTTACGAATAAGTAGGTATATTAAATTTAATTTACATTTCGGATACCCTGTATATGCGCAGTATTAAACCAGTACCAGTACCCTTCAAATTTTTATCCACGATATGTACACAATATACAACGCAATTTGCCAAACGAACGCACAAAACTAACAAAGTAACATGTAATATACAAATTTACCTCGCTTGAAAATAATAATTTCCAGCTATTATCGCCCGAAACTGTCGGAGCCTCATTTCAGATCAAGTAGGCACGGCTGGTGTATTCCTCACTTCCAACCACTGCACGTCGTCATCGAACCTTTCCACTCTCACTTTCTGCCTGTAATGGTACTCCTTGAGATAGGTCTTCAAACTCTTGGGCAACTGCAACTGATTGACGTCGTCGTAGGTCAACTGGCTCACGATCACCGCCCGGGCTAGATGTTGCAGGGAGAACGTGAACTTTCTATTCAAAGGCCAGGTGAGCAACGGCTCGAAGAACATGCAACTGCTCGGATCTTTGTAGTGCTCGATCAAACCGTACACTGTATCTGAAGTGTATACACCTGGATCGTGGGAATCGAAACTAAACCGATGGTTCCACTGTTCGATTCTAGCGTGCAAAGATCTTTCGTATTTCCTAAAGGAAACGCTGAACAGAAACTCTTCCTGAGCGGAGTCTCTCAAGAGAAAAGTGCCCTCCGGTTTCCCGTCTAGCAATCTTTCTGCTTCGTATCTATCCATTTTACCTAAAAATCACGTTAGTATGAGATGTAGCAAAATTCAATAACGCATAAAATGCATTCACTTACCCCAATAGAAGCTACAATTCGTAATTCTGAGCAAATCCGGCACGAGGCAATGGATAAAATCGACCTGAGTGTGACATCCGGTAATGGCGTCCAAAGGACACGACCTCACCGTCACGTGGTTCTGGAACAGAGCCCTGAGAGATTCGACGCTCAAATCGGGCGGGCAGACCAGCTGCAAACGCCTCGGCGCCTGCGATTCCCCTTCGGCGTCCGAACACAACAACTGCACCCTCCTGATGCACCGGAAATTCGCCGGCGCCACGACGCCCTCTTCGATTTCGCGAGCTCGCGCGATTCTCGCCGCCTCTTCGCAGTCTTCGTGTTGCGTTCGCATCCTGCAAGAGCTAAAAGTTAATTTCAACCTTGATCGTTAACGGATCGTACGAAAAACGCCACAATTGGAGTATACACGATTACCGGGAAGTATTCACTCACCATTGCATGTCGATGAACGGGGCGCTAATAATTAAATTCGGAATTGAACTAGTGGCGGGAGCGGTCCCGTAAATGCCCCTTACTCCGTTGACTTCGGTAACAACTCTGCAGGCTGAAGTACTGCCGTCTTGGGTCGTTTCTTCTTCACTGTCTTCGAGTCGCTGTTCGGTTTTCTCCGGAGTTTCTTCGTTCGCCTCTTCTTTTGTGTCACCAACCGTTTCGATCATATTTTCGTTTTGACTCGGAATGTTGTCGTTGGCTCGGTGATAGCACGTACAGCGGCAGCAATTTTGATTCTCTTCGGACGAAAGCACTTTGGCTTCTCTTTTGGCGCTGCTAAATCTAATGCCTCCCCATTTGGGCGGTTTTCTTGTCATAGCCACTCTCTTTCCTGGTTTTTTCTCGCGCTAAAACGGGTTTGTGTTAATTGGCGAAAAGCTAATTATATTTATTGAATAACATACCTTGTATTTGTCGCGACAAATGTTAAAGAAGTTCAATCGGCTTTTTTTGGTAGTTTCTTTCGAAGATGACTCTTGCGATGTGCTCGGGCCGGCTTCTATTGAATTCTTTTGCTTCTCCTCACATGTGCAAGCACCGCTATCCATATTTTGAAATATACCATTCGACAGCCAACGAAGCAGCATATGAAATTCACATTTCATATCATGCAGCAACTAAAATGAATAAACATTTTACGATAATAGTAGTAATAAAAAACATCTAAAATTTAGTTTATTCATCGTCGTTTATGCAAATATGATTCCATTTTTTATCGATGCTAATTAACATCACATTGTAAAATAATTTTAAATGAATAGTACCAGTGTTACTTTGTAACATAATTGGTTGTTAGGTAACAATGTTGACTATCAGTTTTGTAATTTCACAGGAATGTAAATATAGCATCCACTTTACTATTTATTTACTAATAACGCTAATAATGTGTGGAGGTAACATTTGCAAACAATAATTATCAAACAATAAATTAATCGCTGCATTCTACATCCTAGAACGATAAAGGTAGATGTATTTTTGAAAACAACAAATTTTTCACTTGGTTCACAAATAATATTTAACTATATTGCGATATAAATTAACGATGTTAAAAGTATTTTATTTACCTAAATTATTATTCAAGCTTTGAATATACAAAGCACATACTATCTAAAAGAACAAACTGAAAACAATAAGCACATCAAACGCTCAATTAAATTGAATTTAAACTGGCTGTAAGAAAAACAACTTAATCAAAACTAACAGGAATCATTTTACTACAGTTGATTAAATACACCACAGCATTCCTAAATCCAGTCCCAACTTGCATAGACATGTTTGTCAAAGCTATGTTGCCAATGTTTTAAACACATTCCCGAAATACAAACAATCATATAGGAAATGCAATTTTAATCATAATTGTTACTAAAAAATAAACATATTAGTTAATTGTTCTTATTTCCACAATATGTATATCTCTAGTAATATTATTATGTCTCCCATTAATGTTTCAAAAATACAAACAAGTTCGCTTATGAAATCAAATAGATAAACAAAAATGTGAATAAATATTTTTCAAATTTATTACTTTTATCAATGTAAACAGTTGTATACCCTACTTATCCCACATGTTTCATTCATAAATAGATTATCACAAACTAAACTGATAACAACTGTTAAATAACACCAAAAAAATGATTGCAATGTAAAAAAAATGGTATTTACAAGTTTAATTTATTCTACACACATTTGTCTGCATTTTAATAAGCTCCTTGCAATGAATGAAATAAATTTCCGCCATATTGACATACATTAAAATAAAAATACAACTGAAAATTTAGAACTTAAACAGTGAACTTAAAATAGATAAAACGCATTGATTTATGTTTTATGTGGATGTAACGTTAAGAAAATAGAGTTATTTACATATTCCAAAAATAAGATTTATCATTACGTCATGCATTCTTGTATGGGCTGGGCTGGATTTAGTTAAAAATCATAACATGCCAATCCTTATACTTTACCTTAGGGTTCTTGGTCCTGCAAATGAAGTAATCACCAGACAAGATGCAATTAAATCCAAGCTAAACAGTAGTTTAAATTTAAAAACACGTTGATAAACAAATAATTTCTTAAATAAAACTTTAGTGAATGTCACTAAATGACGGACATGACTTTGACGTTGACGTAAAGTCCAGGAGAAAATTTGGAACGACTGGTCCTTTACCTAATTGAGTATGTAAACACATTGAATATTTCTAACCTGAAATACATTGAAAGAAGAAGAAGAAAAAATAAACGATTATTTTTTATTTGCAAAAAATGTTTTAAAATTTGTGCATGGGTTTTTTTTAAATAAAAAACTAATAAATATCGTGAATGCATGTTAAAATGTGATATTATGAGAGTGATGAATAATTCACAATACTTTGTAATATGAATATTTAGTATAAACAGTGATATACTTTCTTCCAATATGTTGAAAATAAAAGCTTTAAATCGCGAATCGTCCTCGGACGAAGATACACCTGTTATAAGAAGAGAAGCACAGGTAACGTACACATATTAGAAATTGCGTATTATCATATTCCCAATAATCCTTCCATATTGCAGGAAGAAATCGCTCTAGAATTATACAATAAAGCTCTACATTTACAAGCACAAGAAGTATTTTCCCAAGCAGAATCAATTCTCCTGAAATTAATCGATGAAAATATACCCCTATTAGAAAACAACGGAGGTCTTCCGAAGTCTATGTCCAATTTGAAATACTCTTGTCACGTTAACATAGGTAACATATATTTAAAACTAAACAGAATAAACGATGCCCTCGAAAGGTATTTACTAGTAAGTATAAGGAAAATTTTAATTTTAATTGTAGTTTAATCTCATTGTTACTTTAGGCCTCTGAATTAGACGCAACTGATGTCACCTTATGGTATAAAATTGGGAACTTATCCATCGATGAAAGTAAATTCCACCAGTCTGCATATGCCTTTGCAAAAGTAAGTTGTAAGAGTACACTTACATTTAAAGTAAAAATGTTTGTTTTTTAGGGATTAGAATGTAGCGAATCTCACTGGCCTTGTTTGGATAAATTAATATCAGTATTATTCGCTATTAAAGATACTATTGCTTGTTTAGAATACATTGGAAAAGCTTTAATATTAGACCCTAATTATACGAAAGGTTTAGTCTTAAGGCAGCAAATTTATAGGGATAATCCAGCTAGTAAAGAATATTACAAATTATACAACCCTGAGAGGTAAGTTGTGTTATTTATTATAGGTTATTTGTTGCTTTAATTGATAATTTTCAGTATTTGGGAACCGCCTTTAGAAGTTGAAATTACTGAAGAAGATGAGAAAACTTACTTAGATGAAGTGCAGAATTTAATTAGCAAAGTTAATGAAGCGGAAAAAGCCCTTGCCCCTAAACCTCTAGAAACCATTGCACTTCCTAAACCCTTAGTAGATTACACCTGGTTATGTTTAACGGAAGTAATCGTTTATATCCATCAATATATATCCGACCAAGGAATGGTAGGTACTAATTTCCACAATGGTTTATTTATCTTAATTAACAAATATTTTAGAGTCATTTTACCATGTTCGACATGTCTAAAAGTATGAGCAATAAAGAGGAACCTGCTTTTAAATTTCCGCAAACTGACAGCGAATGTACGAAGCCAGTCGAAAATAAAGTTCCCGATGTAAAAAATCCTGTTAATGGACAAGCAAGCGCCAATGAAAAGCTACTTAACGAGCAAATAATCGAAAGAAGACTCTCACAAAACAGCGACAACGTTATTGATAACCAAGAAAATACATCGATGCAGACCGATAACGATGATGTATGATTTATTATTATTATTTCGAAAAAAACATTAATAATTCCGTTTATTTCAGGATCAAACTCTAGAGCCTGATACAGAAGATCAGGATGAGACTGCCGAGCAGAAAGAAAAAGGCAGACCGAGGACTAAAAGAAAACGCGACCTTTTATCTGACCTACAAACATGGGGATGGTACAGCAGAAGAAAACTCTCCAAAAAGGCTAAAGAAAAGGATTTCACCATAGAAGACGCCTTCGAGAGAATAATTCCGAAAAAATTGCTACCACATAGAATCGATCCTGAGAAATTTGTCGGATACGACGATTCCATGAATACAATGGACTTGTACAATCTTTACATGGATAACTGCAATATAAACTATTTATCTCCGATCCATTCCCCCACATCTGTGAATTACGAGCAGTATTTTGGCACGGAAAAGGAAAGAGACGATGTCGAGGAGTTTTGGACGAAAACCCGCGAATCTGTCGATGCCGTGGTACTAATCAAAGAACTAGTATTCCGCCTTTCTAAACTTTGGCATTACAAATGGCCCAAAGAACTGGTTCCCCTTTACGTGAAAGCTTACAATATGTTTCGCGAGCACTACGATCCTCCTCAAGTGTTCTGCGGCGGCCACTCATTCGAAGAATTAAGAGATGATGCTCTGGCTTCTCTGCTGTTTTGTGAATTGGTAATATTTAGCTGCGAGGAAAAGGTGAACATACCTCCTATGCTCATCGGGTACATGAGGCTCATTAGCGGATGGAAGGAGAAATGGAATCAAGATTATCCGTCATTCTTCATTCGTCTCTTTTGGCTCGAATCGCACTTATTCCGCAAAGAAAAAAACAACGATTTAGCCATCAATTCCTTGCATCTGATTAAAGAGGCAATAGAGGAAGAAGAGTCGAACTCGAAGGAAAAGTACATGTTGAGTTTGCCGAATTGCTTCAAATACGGTCTGGTAAACGGCGGAATCATATGTAAAATACTCAAACATCTGGATATTATTAGTTCTTTAAGTTTAGTTGAAAACATGTACAATTCCGAAAAATACAGAGAAGTTGCGGATATCCTCAAAGCGACTTTTAACGGAGGTCCTTGCTTGCAAGTGGGACGTTTGGGCCGTCCCGCTCAATTGGGCATATTAATGCACTCCCTTTGGTACCTAAATAAAACGGAATGCTTTATTTGGACGGAGGAGTGCTTAAATGAAGCATTCGATCAATACCTAAAGCTCAACAAGGACCAGGATAAGTGGGAGAAAATACTGGAGAAGTGTTTAGCGATACTTTACGAGATAATTAAAAGCGATACAATTTGCATTATCGATCATTTGCACGAAAATAACAGAGCTAGAATCGTCCAGAACTTGGCCAAAACAATCTCCAAGCAATTGAATTCCGAAGTTTCCAAAAACTCCGTCATTTGCGTCAAGCCTTGGATACTCTTGCATTTTGTTCTCTTGCGGTGAGTTAATGCGCGAATGCGATTAGTTTAGATAATGGTGGATCTTTTTACAGAGAGGAACAACGAGAGTATGCCAAAAAGAGAATTAGTAAAGGCAAAAAAGCTGATGTGAGTAATGAGAATGAAGACCCTTCGGATAACTCTCTGCCGCCTTCTATAGAGATTTTATTCTCGGCTCATGAATTTTTAGGTATGTAATAAATGTTTAAAACCTGATAGAATAAAAACAACTAATTTTACCTAAATTTTAAGGTTCAAAAGGCTGGTGTATGTCGAATCAAGGAGAATTGCTTCATTTTATCATAGATACCATTCTGGATAAATTGGATACTCCGATTTTCGAACGTATGAGAGACAAAATCGACATACACATTGAGCAGTCTATGTTCTGTTTGTACCAACATCCCAGCAAAAAGAACAAGGTAATTCGTCAAGTTATGTTAAAATAAAACGTATGCAAATGGTTTGTTTTAAGATTTCCCGGCACCTGGCCGATCACAATGTCGATCCCATTCCCTTATCCTGGGAACGGGCCTCGCAAGTGTACGAATTCTACGGTCCCGATTCGCTGCCGGAATTCAATTCGTACAAAAACGCCTCGATATCGTCCGATTTAGAGCAGTTGTTCAAGCGAATCATCGCCCTCGTCCCGACGAACAATTCCCCGCAACAGTATTTGCCGAAAATCATGGACTACATTCACGGCAAAACCGACGTCGTGATGGAACCCGTTCCGTTTCCGCGCAAAGTCAAATCGATCTACTACCTCATCGGCGATTTCTACTTCAAGCAGAGGGAATTCAACAAGTGCATCAAGTACTTCCAGTTGGACTTGTGCATCAATCCGGGCCGGTTGGATTCCTGGGCCTGTCTGGGACTCAGCTACGCGGCCCAGCTGGACACGAAGCTCAACCACTGCGAGAAATTCAAAAACGAGATGGAATTTTTGGAGAAGGCGAAGTACGCGACGATTTGCTTCAAGAAATCGTTGGAGATTTGCCCGGATCCGCTGATGCTGTGGATAGAGTACGGCACCTTCCAGTACACTGCTCATTCGTACTGCTCGAGGATCCTCAAGTACGAATCGGAAAATTTAAGCATGGAAAAGTATGACTGTCTTTTTTTTAATCTGCTCGTCTTATTTATTGGTAACGGAATTTTGCAGGTTTGAGTTTTTGGAGAATCAAAAGAACAGCTATTTGGATAGCTCCGGAAGCAGTTTTGAAAAGGCTATTGCTCTTTACGAAGCGGAAGAGACTAATGAAGCGGACGAAAGATGGTTGCAGTATTATATTTTGGGTAAAATAGCCGAAAAGAAGCAAAAAGAACCAACTGAGTATCTTCAATATTATATAACGGTACGCTTAGACCCTTCTTATCAGCTTTATTCGCCCTAATTGCTTCTTCATTACAAATAAAAACATATTTTAGGCTAGTACTCTATTAGAAGAAAATAATGCTGAATATCCCGAGAAGATAAATTACAATAATCCTCAACATTTATCCGTAGAAGCGTTGGAATTGCACTATAGAATACACGCTTCGGTTTTGAAATACTTAGAACTGCACGAAGGAAAGGAAATACCGAACACTTTAGGTGCATTTTTCAAGAAATGTTTATCCAGTTCGAATCATTTGAAAAAAGCAGTACCGCAGCCTCCACCTGCTGTGGAAACGGCCACTTCTGCAGGCAGTCAGGAAACGAAGGTTTTGCAAACTCCTGTGGCTCCTGTGCCTGTGGCTCCTGTGGCTCTTTCAGGCCAGTTATCAAATGCATGTAACAAATCGGAAACTAACGATGGAAATCATGTTTCTGAAAAAGAAAATTTACCATCTACTAATGATAAAAAAGCTGATAATTTGCCTGAACCTGCGCCAATACAACCTAAGACACAGAAGCCTACTTATGACATCGAAGACGTTATAGTATTGTCTGATTCTGATGAAGATGTTAAAGTAGTGGAAAGTGCGCCTGATATTAAACAAAATGATAAAATTTGTGAAAATGGAAAGACTGATACACCGCAAATTGAAAAGACAGTAGAACCTATGGAGACTGATATTGATGAAGGCACAACACATAAAATTAGCAAATCGTTGGGAGAATTGGAGAAAATGGAGGTTGATAATAGCGAACCTACAGATAAAATTAAGGAATTAGTAGACTCTGAAGGTACTTTACATAATGCATCTGCAGCAACTACAAACAATAAAATCGAAAATATTAGTAATGAGCCAGAACAAGCTTTGAAAACAACAAATAGCAATTTAGGTAATTAATATTTCCACAGGTTCATTTAATTAACTCTACAATCGCTAACAAACAATTATATTTCAGATAACCCCGAAGCATCCAATACCAAGCCTAAAGATGTGCAAACGTTACTGGACGAAATGATGATGCAGACCATGAAGAATTCAGACGAACCCGAACCCGATTCCGACCTTAGCGGCGCCGAGAAGTTTGAAGAAGTTATCGTTCAACAAGAAAACGAAGTTAACGATGTCAAAAAAGACGAGTCGTCGAAAAGTCCGTCAGTGAAAACGGTAACTAACGATGTAGAAATGGACACTAACAACAAACCGGTACGATCTACGTAAAAATCTAATTAAATTGCTAAGCGGTGGTATCATCTTCAGGTGACATCAAGAGAATCCAGCAGCGGTTCGAGTTCATCCAGCTCGAGCGAGAGTTCGGACTCTGATAGCGATGATGACGATAGCAGTTCATCAAGTTCATCATCATCTTCGGATAAATCCAACGAATTTATGTCTCACAGCGACCTGTCGCATTTAATTGATAGATGCATTCTAGGTACCATATTAATTAATATATTTCCTAAAACCTATAACTAAGAAATAATTGTTCATTTTTACAGGTTTGGAAATATGCGTCGTTAGATTGACACAAAACTACAAAGCCCTCTATCGACTGGCTCATATTTTCTTCAATTACAAGGCCAAGAAAGATTTAAGCAAGTGTAAGCAATTGTTGATGAGCGAATATAAATGTAAAGATGGCACAGTCATATCCGGATTGTTTAGCGATCGGAAACCTATAAACTTTTTTAATGTGAGTATAATAGTTATTCAATAATATTGCGGGAATAATATGGTTATTATTTTAGGGTATATGGAGAATACCTTCATCTGAAATCGACAGGCCTGGTTCGCTTTCTGCGCATATGAGTAGATGTTTATCGTTATTGTTGCAAATATTGAGAACAACGAATGACACAAAAACTTTGATCGATTTATGTGTTAATTTGAGGAAAACCCCGGAGCCTGATAAGTAATACTTTATAGATATGAATAATGGTATATGCACTGGATATATTGGCTTGTTACACCATCTTGAATTCCATTCTTTGTTTCATCTTACGATATTTTACACAAGATATTACCACCGGTGCATTACTCTTTATCGCCTATGATTTCTCCAAAAGTTAAACGATATTAAATCGACAATGTTTCATTGAATTTTTAGAATATACATAAAAGATTCGGAAAGGATAGCTTTCGCCGATCAAGCGATGACCATGTGCATCCAGAGCATAAGGGACCAAATAAAACATATACCGAGCATGACTAATCCCCAAATAGCGAAACTTCTCCAAGAAATTTACAAGATCTATCAGAGATTGCAGAAGCACGCCCCGGGCAAGGAAATCCATTTTGCCAATTTACTTGAAGAGGTCTACAAAAAATTCATCAAAGAAAAGGTACCAATAAATCGATAGTCCATTTATAAAAATTTAGAAAAATGAAGCATTTACTTTGAAGTAAAAGGTAGATGCACAAGGTAAAAGGAAAAGGTTCTGCTCTGGTCCATATTCATAACCTACGCCTTTTTAGCGATTAGCGATTTCCTCAAACTAGTCGAAACGATTCTATATAATTCTGAAGCATTCTAGATTGATGTAGCCAGTTATAAATGATTCTAGACAGTTCTAGATGATTCCGAAGCGGTCTAAATGATTCTAGGCAGTTCTAGATGATTCTGGAGCGTTTTAAATGGCTCTAGACAGGCTCTAACGTAATTTCACCATGTCAGCCTTAACGAATTGGGGAAACACAGTCAAAATACTTAAAAATTTGTTACAAGGTGTGTCGTGACTGGGCAACTACTGAAAAGATTGAAAAGTTGGACGTAGATTCCATTTTTACAAACAAATCCTTTTCTTTACCTTATGCTTTAAGGCAACTGTAAGTTTCTCGAAGCAAAAACTCTTTCATCACTTCTTTTTATGCACGTACCTTGAAGTAATTCCCTCGTTTTTTGAAAGCAAAAGGGTATATTCTTCTGATAAATACGGCCTATTTACTGTCATATTTAACTAACGATTTTCTCCATTTTTCAGATACCCGATAACGTCAACGTTCTTGATTTAGCGGTTAAATTCTGTTCGCAAAACAGGGCGGCCGAGAAACAGAAGCTTCTTTCTACACCTAAACCTCAAATATTGACCCCCAGAGGATCACCAATTACTTCAGTTGTGAGTTCACGTTGCAGTCTATGTTAATTATAGGTGATATTTGTATGTTTTATAGGCACCCGTCATGCCTTCGCCGCAGGTCTTCACGCCGCAGTCGTTGGCGTTGAAGAGACCGGGGTCTCAAAGACCTCGCGGTCGACCGCCCTTGCAGAAACCCGCCGGACAACAGCGTTATCAAAGATCGAAGAACCCCGCTTCGGGTGCCTCAAAGGCGACTTCGTTCCCCTGGCAGAAGCCGCTCTTGGATCACAGTTACGCCTACGAATATTTGAAGCACTACCAAGACGAGCTGATCAAGCAATACAGCCAGAATTTGAGCATTGCCCAGCTCACGCAGTTAAGTTCTATTTTGACGCAAGGTAATTGATTCTAACGGAAATAACCCGCCGATGATTATAATAATAATTTGTTTTAGGTCACATTAATAATCCTCTAGCTGCATCGGCAGTAACGAGTCAAATGTTCGCTCAAACGAATTTATTAAACACTAATTTACTTCAAAATATTAATCCGGCAGGAAGCTCTGTCCCAACCAGCGCTTCTTCGCAACTAATGGACAATTTGAACCAACTAAATCCTGCCATGAAGAAAAAATTAGGCGTCGATCAGGCGCTTTCGAACCTAACACCCGGTAAGTATCTTATTCTATGAGAATAGTTTAAACGTTTACCACGACTACCAATTTGTGTAGTAACTCTTACACCTAAAATTGCCGTTTTTGGGCTCTTTTTTACTTAAAACGTACCTTTTTCTTTACAGATCAATTGAAGGTTTTGGGTACGCTGATTCCGAAACAGCAATCATCGACTTTCTCAAATAAATTATCTTCGTCTCATGCCGCTTTGCCCATACCAAGCAGCGTTGCTGGTAATTCAACGAAGCAACAGTCCCAAAGATCTGCCGTGCCGAGCGCGTCCAAATCGATTGTCGATCAATCGAAGAACAAAATGGGCGTTCCGGCGAGCTTGATTAATTCGATGTCGATGAATTTACAAACCGGATCGCAATTGTTTAGGGTAAATTCTCTTTGAATATTTCTGCCGCAAAAATCATTCTTAGCTCTAGAGTTCGTACGTTTTGAAATGATAACGACGACACGAGCCAGCCTGTTGCAACGTTGCCGTGTTGTTATTGAAATCCTTTATATGACAGATACATTTAATTTAAGGTTATGCTTACTTTCAATGTTTACAAATTAAACAAGTCGAAAAACTATCTAAAACGGACGAAAAACCCAAAAACCACTCGTAAACTTGAAAAAAAAAACAGGCAAAATTCAAAAATCGCTCTGCCTAGAATCTTTTAGAACGCTCCAGAATCATTTAGAACTGTGTAGAATCATTTAGACCACTCAAGAATCATTTAGAACTGTCTAGAATCATTTAAAACGCTCCAGAATCATTTAGAATTATCTGGAATCATTTAGACCGCCCCAGAATCATTTAGACCGCTCCAGGATCATTTATAACAGTCTAGAATTATTTAGACCGCTGCAGATTCGTTTAGACTGTTCCAGAATCATTTAGACAACTCCAGAATCATTTAGAACTGTTTAGAATCATTTAGAACTAGCTAGAATCATCTAGACGATTCCCGATTCATTTAGAACTGTCCAGAATCATTTAGAACACTCCACAATCATTTATGTAGATTGCTCCAGAAAAAGACAAAGATTGCTGGGAAAGTCACAAAAACAACAAATTGTAGTCACAACGTGTCAACTACAAATAGCGGAATTTTGAAACTAACGATATGGCAACAGCGCATCGGCAATTCAACCGCTCTAGCTAAAATTCCCCTAGTCAAATGGCAGAATTAACATTGGAACTAAGGAAATTTTGAACTGCGTGGAAATTACTAAAAATGACTTCATTGTCTTTTTAAAACGCATGAACTTTACTATATTTGTATATTTAGGAACCAGCAAAAAAAGTTCCGTTGTCAGCTCAAGATGATAAATCGGCTAAAGATTTAATGAAAGATAGACCTAATATATCGATCACTCCTGTCAGCTTGTCGCCCACTCCTAGCGTTTCGCCTAATTTTATGAGGCCAACATCGACTAGTCCATCGAGTAAGACACTATTTTATATATATACAACACGTAAAAAATAATACTTTAAGAATGTCTAGGAGCACGCTATATTGATTAAACCTCGTCCTGTTTTAGGCGGGAAAACGTTACAGGAAAAGCTTGCGGAAAAGAAGAAAGAACAACAAAACAAACAACTAAAATCCACGCACGAGGGGGAGAAACGTCAGGCGGAGCTTTACAAAAAGAACCTAAACCTCCCCAATATACCGTCATCGCTGACCGTATCTCCGGTGACTGCGGCCCAATCGGGTTATCCGAGTACTTCCGATGTTAAGGCGTCGATGTTCGCCCATCCGAAAAGCTCCAACAAGAGCTCCAAGTTTTCTTTGGAGTACGGCTTGCCGATGGGCGGCCCTTTGAAATTGCCCAACGAATCGATGCTGGCGCCGCCTCTAAACGTGTCGAAGGCTATTACTAGCCATTTGGCTAACACGCCGACGTTTTCATTGGATTCTGGAGTATCGATTAGTCAGGTATGTATAATGTAACGTGCGTCCTAAATTAGTTATGTCGTCGATCAATTTTGAACACAATGGCGTATAAAAAATATAAGCTACACGTTTCGTATTTCGATTGTAATTTAAACGAGTTTTTGGATCTGCAATCTGATTCACAATTCGCTGTTATTTTATCCGTGAATGTCATTCATTGTCTGCAGGGCGATCATAACAAAGCTCCTCAAACGCCAAGAAAGCCCTACATTTGGAACCCCTCATTTTAAACGTACCTGTGTAAGTCACAACTCACTTTGTTTCGTGATAGACGCATTGTAGTTAGTACTTGCTCGCATGATTTGTATACGTAGCAGTAGTTGTTATTGTTTTTCCTTAAGGCCGCCAAAACACGCCCTTAAATTCATTATTCGTAGGGTAATATACAGGATGTCTCATAAGTTGATACTTTTTTTAACTGCGTATAGATCCTTTAATTCTAAGCAACTTTTCAGGTAAATTTTTTTAACCCTGTAGAACTATTGCGAATTTTGGTAAAATTAGATAGGATGAGATACTTCTATCTACTACTGTAGATGTTCCGTGTTTGATTACACTTGACACAAAATCAAACGACCAAAATAAAATAAGAAATCCTTTTCAAAATTTTTTAAATTCAATTCTTTTCTCTGCAATTTGAAACGATAAAAGTAGGGTTTTAAAAATAGTCATTAAACTGCTTCAAAAGTATCCCGGTGCACTACATTATTTCATATTACCTCAAATTATCCAAAATTATCTGAAAAACGGAAACCACTGATACCGCTGTTGCCAGTCAAATTTGCAAAATTGCTCTGTGATTTGATATTTATGTCAGGCGACACCATAATTTTACAGTAATCTATCATCAACATTTGCTAAAATATATTAATTATTTTTTTTCAATTTAATACAGCCTGTGGATCAATATAAACTAGGAGACATCTTTCTGTAATAAGTATTGTTCATCCTACTAAAATTATTCACACATCTGTTCAATGAAACTCGGGTTTTCCTAGAATTACGTTTTGCCATTTAAAAAACATTGTAAAAATAGGAAATATCATTGCTGGGAGTTTTTATATTAGGGATAAAAAAGATTCAAATCTATCGATAAAGCCAAATTTGAATCTTACTAGAATTACTGAACTTATGTTTTCCCATTTAAAAATACCCTGAAGTGGCGCCTTTAAGGTAAATTTCGTAATAGATTCGTAATATTGAAGTGTAGTCGATTCCTCAATAACAGGGTAATTTATTGTATTTTAAGAGCTTTGTTTATGTAATTTATTGTAATGGTTAATGTTGCAATATTAAATGCATGGTTTCTGTTCACTTTGATTTGCAAAAAGGAGGTATGTATTTTAGTTATTAGTTTTAAATAATCCTTTTTTTATAAGATTTTTGTCTACACAAATCATTTAGGTTCATTGACAATGTCCCAATTTAATGAAAAAGGGAACACACAATTGCATTTTTCCTTCTTGTAAATTGAAAATATCGTTACAATTTTTTTTACTATTTTATTTTACTTTATTATGACTTTCTACAGGTATCCGTTAATCAAAAGAAAAAAGGGAAGTCCGTTTTAAGCACAGACAAGAAACAAATCGATCCAGTCGTATTAATGCCAATAAACAAGAAAGCTAACGCATCCATTAAACAGTACCAGAAAAATCCACAAATTTCCAAGAAACCAGCGAAGCAGAGTAGCTCTTCAAAAATCTCTTCGGAATCGCAAAAAAAATTAGTGGATTTTTCTAAAATCAAATCGACTGCTCAGAAAGCTGAAGCAACGCCATCAAGTACTAGCAGAACACACAAAGTGGTTAGAATTCAAGCTAATCCTGCTGAAATTACATTGACTAAGAGTTTAGAACCTCTTTCGAGGGGGGAGATCTCAATTGAAGCCATTCCGAAGAAGAAAAGTAATACACAGGCGGAATCCGCCCAAGACGATGTTATATGTATCGATTAGAGTTCGATTTCCTGTGCAAAAGATTTATTTCACCAGACTGTTCCATTCGATCATCGTCGTCGTAAGCGAATAATTTGTATTTTATTTAATGTGTGTTCTATAGTCATAATGTAAGATTAAAATTTACGATTATTTTTGTGATAACATTTTAAAATTGTACTGTCATAGTTAGTTAGATATTTATTATTTTGCTATATTAGTATAATTTTGAATAAAGCTATAAATATTTCCGATTAGTTAATTCTTCGAGTATCCAAGATTTTCTTATTTGTTTTTTATAAATTTCGTCAGTTACGTCAAAGTACGTGAATTACAAATATCTTAAAAATAACAGTAATACATAAACATGAAAAAAGTAAATAGCAAGTGCTAGAAGTTCATTTGTCTTATTTGCATAGGTTTTTAATGTTTTTACCAAAGCATTTTAACGTGCTCCAAATATCGATATAAAGGAATACACACGTCGATAAAACTAAAAAATTAAAAAGGACGTTCCGCCATTAATAAATTTTTTAAATATAAATTTAGTGCTTACCGTGAGAATCATAACTCTATTCATAACGGCCATATCATAGCATTTTAATTGTAAGGGTTCTCTTGTTTGCATTAAAAGCATAAAGAGTAATTGGCAATTGCTTTTGTTCCAATTGTACCAATTAAATTGTTGAGCATTAGTATAAATTGATTCACACTAAAACAAATGTTAAAGAATTTTATTTGGTAAAGTATTAGTTAGGCATTGATTTGACTAATAGTATTTTATTAATATGTATAATTACTGTGTTTTTTTACTACGAAAGAAAAAAAAATATTTTATATTATTATTCCTCATATTCTTGTATATTAACGACTACCTCTAACTGAATTTGTTCTCCACACTCTGCTGTAATCACATTATAGGCAAGTATAATGAGGACAATGCCGGCTTGAAATATTTGAGATTTAAAATCGACTTGCTGGAACATATTAAATTATTATCAACAACATCTAAATTATATTTTAAAACAATTGGGATGATACAGAAACCGAAATTCATTATTTCTTACCAATATCAAAACTAAATTGAAAGCCGCACTCAGTCCTCCTACTATAAAAATCGATAAAAACCTCCATTTAATGCAATGATTAACGTAGTCAGCAGCCCTAAAATATTTTATAATTATTATCTGATAACAAAAATGGACGAAAAACTTTGAAGTAAATGTCAAGTAAATTTGTTGCTTTACATTAATTTCTTGTAATTAGGTGTTCCTCAAAAAAAAACAATTAAGACTTATTTACTCGTATAGTTAATAATCCTGTTAAATGCAAGGTACTATGCTAAATCACTGTTGAATTAAATTATTAAAATTACCAATTATGTTCATATGTATGTATATAATTTGTAAAACAATTATTTATTTACTGTGTTTATATTTTCACATTGAATCACATGAATCTACTTCATGTAATTATTTATAACGTTCCATTACCTTTTTATTGCGTTGTATTGTTTTATGTAATAAATAAGTTCTTTTTTCACTTTTTGTTGATACTTGTTCGAATGTAGGCGCTCTGTAATACTCGCTTTTAATTGATCATCATTTTGTTGAAAATTTTTCATCTCCTCTACCACTTGTTTTAATGAAAACTTAATATGTCGAGAGCAGTACACAACTGTGTATACTGGTGTCGGAATGTAAGTTATTGAATGAATTGGTATTATATAAAATATCATAATATGATAAAATTTAAGTAAGTATGATCGGTTTAATGATAGTGCTTTCATAATTTTAATAGGAAGAGTTGTTTCAGTTACTTGAAAAAACATGTACAAGTTATATGCAATTGGAGAGAAAATAAAATGGAATGTTAAACATATATGTTTCAAAGTTTTGCTGCTTTTTAACATTTCGTTTTTTAATGATACATTTGCAGCTCTCTTGTTATGAGTTATCAATTTTATCACTGTCTGAAACATTTTATTAACCATACGAAATTTTCTCATCATATTACCGTACATTATTGTCATCTGAAACCAAATAAATAAATACGTCAACTGAAAAGAGAACAGTTTTCTAAATTTGAAGTGTTCTTACCACTATTAAAAAAGAAAACAGGACTAGATTTTCCGCTAACATACTGCTGGGGTTTTTTGATACAAATATTCCTGTTAACATAACGAATATGATAAAGTTATAAAACCAAAATATTATTCTCGTAATCGTTTTATGTCTCAGCGTTCTGGTTAGTATTGTAGCCATATCAGCAATCCAATAAAAGGGATCACCTATAATTATTATATCACATTCATTTTTACAATAAATTATAGTGGAGGGTTGGTGTTCAATTAAATCAGTAATATTTTCAAAAAAAAGTGTCATGAGTACTACTACTAAACTTCTGTTGTACTAAAAAACTACTGTTGAATATTATTTCAGGATTATTATTAATGTGAATCCTCTGTTGTACTTACCTTCATAGGTCTCAAAGTGACCAAATACAATATTTTTAATTTTGATCATCGCCCTGTCTCCAACACAATTTAATAAAAGCATGAATTAACTGTATATGTTTGAATACGTACTAACCACCACGGTACCTTTGGATTAATACAGGAATTATTAAGATTAATAGAAGATCATTAAGCATATTTTTGTTTCGTTTATTAGTATTAGTATATTAGCTGTATTCAAAATATATCTCTTTAACTCCTTTATGAATAAGGAATTACATTTTGACCTTTGAATACCAAAAAAGCATAAATTAATCTGAAGTATTTATTAATAATTTTTCATTTATAGGAATTAATGTACAATGTTACCATGTAGAAAAAAATTACTGTAAAAAAATTTTTATTCACATTATTTATTTACAGTTTGATTTTTTGTATTGTAAAATCAATTCGTATTAACCCCAATACGAATTGATATTTGAGACTCTTCTGGGGCTGTTTTGACAAAGCATTTAATGCTCAAAAAAACGTTTAATGTGTAGGTAACCAGTACAAGTACAGATTATTTTAAACAGATTAAGGTAAGACTACATTTTTATATGATAATGTCTTTTCTCAAATATTTAGATATTACTTATTTTAAGACGTAATAATTAGATTTATCGGTTTTTAAAAAACTAATTGAACATTGCCATTAATTAATGTAATTTGCATTGGAAATCGAATACCTGCCGCATTGAATTTTTATGGCGAATAAACCTAATCTTATCTTATCAGTAATTCTCTGGGTGCGTTAGCCGTAATGAGTCAAATGATTGATTTCATTAGACACTTAAATTAGTTTACTTCAACATATTAATCCTGGAGAAATCTCTGTCCAAGCCAGCGTTTCTTCACAACCAATAGACAGTTTAAACCTATTAAATCCTGCCATGAAGAAAAATTTAAGCGTCGATCAGGCACTATCGATCCTAACACCCGGTATGTTTTTTATTTTATGAGTTTACAGGAAGCACAACAATTCGAATACAAAAACAATGTTTTTTTTCATGTTTAATACATATATTATAAAATATTTTAATTCCATAGTCCTTCCGAACGTTGACATGAACTTTGTTTAATATCAACTCCTTGTACACTTACGATTTCTTGTCATTAAATTTGTCATTAAATTTCAATGCCTATATGCAGATTTCTTTGGACCCTTTTTTGATTTTTTGCAAATAACGCACCTTTCTCTTTGTAGATCAATTAAAAGTTTTGGGTATGCAGATTCTGAAACACCAAACATCGACTTTCCCAAGCAAATTAACTTCGTCTCATGCCGCTTTGCCCATACCAAGCAGTGTTGCTGGTTGTTCAACGAAGCAACAGTCTCAAAGATCATCCGTGCCCAGCACGTCCAAATCGATTGTCGATCAGTCGAAGAAAAAAATGAGCGTTCCAGCAAGCTTAATTAATTCGATGTCGATGAATTTACAAAGCGCATCGCAATTATTTAGGGTATATTCTTTCGAAAAATGTAGGCACAGCAATCATTTTTATCTCTACTATATTTGTACCATGCATTAGGAACCAGCAAACAAAGTTTCGTCACCCCAAGATGACAAATCGGCCAAAGATTTGTTGAAAGGTAGACCGAATATTTCGATCACTCCTGTCAGTTTGTCGCCCACTCCGAATTTTATGAAGAAAACATCGACTAGCCCATCGAGTAAGACATATTATTGTTTAAACAATATGTATAATAGTCGACAATACCTCAAGACGTTATAGTAGAATTATTAAGGGTAACGCTGTATTGATTAAACCTCGCTCTATTGTAGGCGGGAAAACATTACAGAGAAAGTTGGTGAGTAAGAAAAAAGTGCAACAAAACAATCAATTGAAATCGACGCTGAAATCTCTGAACGATTCTGGAGTATTGATTAATCAGGTATGTATGTATAATGTAACGGGCGACCCATATTGGTTCTATATACTATATTTTTCAATTTCGGGCACAAAAGGGCGTATAATTAAAAAAGGAAATAAAAATACAGTTACATTTTTCCTTCTTGTAAATTGAAAAGTATCTACATATTCTTTTTACAATTTTATTTTACTTTTTTACAACTCTCTATAGATATCTGCTAATTCAACAAGCAAAGGCAAAACCTTTTTAAGCACCAACAAGAAACAAATTGATCCAGTCGTGTTAATGCCAATAAACAAAAAAGCTAACTCATCCATTAGAGTCATTAGACACAACCAGAAAAACCCACATATTTCGAAGAAACCAGCCACGCAAATAAGCTCTTCAAAAATCTCGTCGGAGACACAAAAAAAATCGGTGGCTCCTCCTGAAATCAAATTGACTGCTCAGAAAGCTGAAGCAACGCCATCAAGTACTAGCAGAACAAACGAAGTGGTTAGAATTCAAACTAATCCTGATGAAATTACATTGACTAAAAATCTAGAACCTCTATTGAGAGGCGAGATCTCCATCGAAGTCATTCCGAAGACGAAAAGTAATACCAAATTGGAATCTATCGCAGACGACGATGTTATATGTATCGATTAGAGTTAGTTTTCCTGAGCAAAAGACTGAAGTTCCATTCGATCGTCGTCGTCGTAAGCGTATAATTTGTCTAATAAATTTGTATAATATAGTCATAATAATGTAAGATAAAAATTTACGATTTTTTTGTGATAACATTTTAAAATTTTATACTGTTATTATTAGTTAGTTACATATTTATTATTTACTTTGGTATATTAGTATTATAATATATTTTTACTATTCGTTTTTTGCTACAGGTAACATTGTTTTATTGAACCTTAAAATCTTACGCTCTTAATGAAACGCCCTTTATTTGTTTGTTACCAATACTTTTATTTCCTTTATCTCCTAAGTATTTTAACGTGCTCCAAATATCGATATGAAGGAATACACACGTTGATAAAACTAAAAAATAAATTGGAATATGTTGTTTCGCAACCAAATTCAATTTTTTAAATAAACATGTATTGCTTACTTACCGCAAGAATCATAACTCTGTTCATAACGACCATATCATAGCATTTTAATTGTAAGGGTTCTCTTGTTTGCATTAAAAGCATAAAGAGTAATTGGCAATTGCTTTTGTTCCAATTGTACCAATTAAATTGTTGAGCATTAGTATAAATTGATTCACACTAAAATAAACGTACAAGAATATTATTTGGTAAAGTATTAGGCATTGAAAGTTTTCTATAGATTTGACATTAAGCTAATAGTATTTAATTAATATGTATAATTACTGTGCTTTTTTATTATGAAAGAAAAAAAATATTTTATATTATTATTCCTCATATTCTTGTATATTAACGACTACCTCTAACTGAATTTGTTCTCCACACTCTGCTGTAATCACAATATAGGCCAGTATATTGAAGACAACACCGGCTTGAAATATTTGAGATTTAAAATCGACTTGCTGAAACATATTTAATTATTATCAATAACATCTAAATTATATTTTAAGACAATTGGGCTAATACAGAAAACCGAGTTTCATTATTTCTTACCAATATTAAAACTAAATTGAACGCCGCACTCAGTCCTCCTACTATAAAAATCGATAAAAACCTCCATTTAACGCAATGATTAACATAGTCTGTAGCTCTAAAATATTGTATGGTCAATTAAGTCAATTCGCTGTTTTAAAGCAATTTATGTAGTAAATTACTGGTAATTAAATATTCCTCGTAAAACATTTGTTTATAGTCAATACAGTTTTTCTGGTTACCAGGAGAATAGGCTAGAGTTCAGTACTATGAAAATGTGTTATGTGTAAAAATGCTGAAATTTCCGCGATGTCTTCAGGACGTATTTTGAAATTAAAAAAAAAAGGTAGGTCGCACTCTATATGAACATCGTTACGAAGCACTAATTTAAAAAAATGCTTTTGTTTCGACTTAATTAATTAAAATATTGAAATTTTGTATTTTATTATTAGGCTATATACCTATTGAACTTTTTCTCCGCAATTTTTAAACCAATTGAAAGAGCTAAATATACCTACCTAAGGGCGGTATGAAGCCCTTTCATACCACATAAGAATCAGTTTTAGTCAACACCCTAGATACTGCCCGCATAAAGTATGAGGGGTAGATAGAGGCAATATCGACATACTTACGATATTTCTTAGGTATGCATGAAAATGTTCATAAAAGTAGAAAGAAAATTTAGTTCATAAAAGAAGAGAGAAAATTTAGTTCATAAAAGTAGAGAGAAAATTTTGTTATTTCGTGAGATTGTGTTTCAAATATATATCGAATTGTGATGAAAAAAAAGGACTTCTACTTTTTTACCGAGGTAAAAACCGACCAAGGGCTCACGAAGAAAAGGCCGTAGAGGCCATACAGGCCGTGGAAAAAGTTTAGGCCAGATCCGTACTCGCCTGTTCTCGTCCGTGGCGCGACGTCGGGACTGTGCTCAAACGGTTTGTCGATAGCCATCTTAAAACAACCCCAATCCTCTTATCACATTTTTACGACATCCCCCGGGCTTACTACCCGAAAATTTGCTGAAATAAAGTGACAGGTTTTGCAACGGTGGTTACCTATTCCCGAAACAAAAATATTTTGTGAGTACTGAACTCTAGCCTAGGTAAAGTTAATACTCTTGGTTCTCATCGATAAAGGTACCATGCAGAAGAGCTGCCTGTTGAATAGAAATCTTTTAAGTAATTTAAGTTTAAATACCAATTTTATATCATATACACTTTTTAAAGCAATTCTTTATTTACTGTATATTCCTCACATTGTTCCGAATAACTACTGAACATAACGACAGGCAGCAGGAAAACTACATGAATTCTACATGAATCTACTTAATGTAATTATTTATAATGTTTCCTTACCTTTTTATTGCGTTATATTGTTTTATGTAATAAATAAGTTCTTTTTTCACTTTTTGTTGATACTTTATCGAAAGTAGGCGCTCGGTTATACTCGCATCTAATTCGTCATCATTTTGTTGAAAATTTTTCATCTCCTCTACCACTTGTTTTAATGAAAACTTAATATGTCGAGAGCAGTACATGACTGTGTATATTGGTGTCGGAACGTAAGTTATTGAATGAATTGGTATTATATAAAATATCATAATCCGATAAATTTTGACTAGGTATGATCGATTTAATGCTAGTTCTTTCATAATTCTAATAGGTAGAGTTTCTTCGGTTATTTGAAAAAAAATGTACAAATGATATGAAATTGTACAAAATACAATATGGAATGTTAAACATACACGTTTCCAATTTTTACTGCTTTCCAACATATCATTTTTAAATGTTGCACTTGCAGTTCTCTTGTTATAAATTGTTAATTTTGTTACTGTTTGAAACATTTTATTCACCATACGAAATTTTCTCATCAAACTACCGTAATTTACTAACAACTGTAACCAAATTAATAGGCATGTCAACTGAAAAAATCGGTTTTGTAAATTTAAAACGTTCTTACCAGTATTAAAAAAGCAAACAGGACTAGATTTTCCGCTAACATACTGCTGGGGTTTTTTGATACAAATACTCCTGTTAACATAACGAGTATGGCAATGTAATAATACCAAAATATCACTTTCGTAATCATTTTATGTCTGACTGTTCTGGTTAACAATGTAGCCAAATCAGCAATCCAAAAAAAAGGATCACCTATAAAGTATGAATTATTATACTGAAGGTTGGTGTTCAAATTTCAAAACTTCTAACTAGGTATACTAGTATTATTAAATCAGTAATACTTTTAAAAGAAGAATGTCGTGAGTTTTATTTTTATTAAACTGCTATAATACCAAACAACTAATGTTGAATGTTAAGGCGCATTTTGACGATTCCAGTAGCTGGCGCCAGTCTCACTATCCTGCCAGCACTCACTGGCATCGTGTGAATGCTTTATCGTGTATACCAGTCAAGAATTGGCAGGCCAGTTAGGCTGGGGCCAGCTACTAGAATCGTCTAAATGCGCCTTTATTTTAAGACTGTATTATGAATGAAAAAGAATAAAATCCTTGATAAGGTATGAGTATATTTTTGTGTACTTACCTTCGTAGGTCTCATACTTGCCAAATACAAAATTTTTTATTTTGATCAACGCCATTTCTCTACCACAACTAAATTGAAACATGCATTAACCGTATCTGTTGGAATACTTACTTACTAACGACCACGTCAACTTTTGGTTAATTCAGGAATAATATTAAGATAATAGAATATCATCAAGCATTTTCAGTTTCTTTTATTAGTATAATTAGTATATTAGCTACGTTTAAAAAATATTTTTTAACTCCTTTATGAACAAGCAATTACACTTTGTTTTAAAATAAAAAAGGTCCAAAAAGGTATAAATTAATGTAACAAATTTACCAATTAAGTATTATTTTTTATATTTTTCATTTAAAAATAAATTTACACTATCACAAATTATTTGAAATATTCGTGTTACCTAATAGAAAAAAAACTTACTGTAAAAATATCATAACCTGTAGAAGCGCCTGTAGAAACACTTTATAGGAATTTATATAGTTCTATCTGAATCCGAGACATATTCCACAATTTCCGGGACACTCTGTATAAAATGCATAGTACAAGTAATATGCAAGCGATGTTTCAATTAATTGTAATGTTAATAAAGCATATTTCAAACTTTTGCTGCTTTCTAACATTTTGTTTTTAATGATACAGTTGCAGCTCTCTTGTTATGAGTTACCAATCAAAAGCTTCCAAGTTAAATATTATATAACTTAAAAGTTACCAAGCAAAATATTCGTGTTACCAAGTAGAAAAGAAGGCGTCTGTAATAATGTCTTAATAAAAAACTAAAATTGTATATTATGCTTGTTTCATAACGAATTTTTAATTCATAATTGCCATAAAATAAATACTAGACGTAGGTGTTCCAAAATAATTGTTAAGTAAATTCTTAAAACAAGTACCTATAAAATTTTTGATAGAATCGACTTAATATTCCAAAATTCCAAAATTTTAAAGAAATGCATGTACAACAAATTTAGATTTATTGTATTATTTAATTTGCGTTTATTTATTTAACTTTATCATAGATAGATAATATTGCTGAAAATAATTTCTAAGAACGATAAAAATAATAACACTCACAGTATAATGCCATTAAGGTGCAAATATATTTTGATAGTAGTGATAATTAGTGATATCTAATTGATAATTAGTGCGAAATTAATAACAAAACTTATTCAACCATGTTAAGTACTCTAAAGAACTATTAAGTATTCTAACGTGTTCCAAATATCGAAATGAAGGAATACACACGTTGATAAAACTGAAAAAAATAAAAATGTCGTTTTAGCAATCAATTTCAATTCTTAAGGCTAGAGTTCAGTACTCGGAAAATAGGCGTAAAATGCCCGATTCGCCGAGACGTTTTCAGGGCGTATTTTGAAATTTGAAAGGGGGGTCGCACTCTACATATGATCTACCCATTTAGTTGTAATGCGCGACGAAGCCCTTTTTTTGAAAAATGCTTTTGTTTTCGCTTAATTAATGAAAATGTTGAAATCGTATAATCCATTTTCAGGCTACATTTTTAACTTTTTGTATGCAATTTTTGTACCAATGGAAAGAGCTGACTCTTTTCGAACGCGCGACGAAGCCCTTTTTTTGATTTTC